GTGCCCATCAGCAGATGAATGGATTAGAAAACTGTGGTACATCTACACAATGGAATACTATGCTGCTGTAAAAAGGAAGGAATTCTTACCATTTGCAACAGCATGGATGGAACTGGAGAGCATTATGCTAAGTGAAATAAGCCAGTCAATGAAAGAAAAATACCACATGATCTCACTCATTTATGGATAATAAAGACCATTATAAACTGATGAGCAAAAATAGATAGAGGCAGAGCAGCCTCGAACAGACCGTCAAACTACAGCGGGAAGGCCGGGTAGGGTTGGGGGACAGGAGGGGGGGGTAAGAGATCAACCGAAGGACTTGTATGCATGCATATGAGCATAACCAATGGACATAAGACACTGGGGGGTAGGGGAGGCCAGGGGATTGTCAAGGGTGGGGAAAAAATAAAAAGGACACATATGTAATACCCTTTGTAATACTTTAAGCAATAAAAAAATAAAAATAATAATTATAACAAAATGCTTTTGTATGTTTTTTAACAATATACTTATTTTAAAATAAAGTTGCCAAGGGATTTGCATAAAAAAAAAAAAAAGACAAAATCCTGTAACTATGGGTAGCTTAAGAGTGGACTCAAATGCAAGTTTATTGCCCTCTTGTGGTAATTTGTAAGAATGGCTGTTTTCTTTAAACATTTTAATGCAGCCTTTCAAAATTTTTGTTCTGTTGTTTCATAATGACTCAGTCCTTGTTGCAGGTTTTTATCAAACATGTTCTGTATTATTGAAATTTATATAAATATAACAGAAAGGTACCAAGCCTCAAGCAAAGCAAATAAAAACACGCATGCCTTTTATTTGTTAAAGAACTTTTAATAATAGCATATTGTAATATAGGAGACCAGAATGTTGCAGATATAGATGGTGTCAGACTCTGCTTTCATTATACTGTATATCATGCTGTTTAAACTCAGTAAAAATATTTGGTTTCCACATTAGATATTAACCTAATGCAAGAGGAAATAACACCCAGTACTAGTTAAGCAGAACAATCTGCTTGCAACTTAATCAGTATTGCCATGTGAACTTTGGTAAAGAGAATGGTTTTATGTAACTTTCTCCATGGATCTGGCCAAGTCCCATCAGGGGCAAAAAGAATGTTTACTGCCATATTTGTTCTACTGTTTCGAAAAGGCTCACCCCCGCTGATTCCTTAGGCCTGGATGGCCAGTAATATATTACAAATGGCATCTGTTTAGCTTTAAATTCCAAATACAATGTCATCTGAATTCAGAAAGTGCACTCTTGTTTGAAAACCTTACAGATGTGAGAATAGCAGTTCTAAGGGTCTATGAGAGTTGAGGACATGTGGAAGATGTTAAGGCAGGAATGAAAGAAGCTGGGTAGTGGTAGAGCCCATTTCCCTAAGCCATCAGAGAGACAAATACTGTTCCCTGTTTAACAGCTTGGATGTCTTGCAGGCATTGCACTGAAAAATGACTGCAGATGATTACAGCTTCACCCCTGTTAGATGCCTGAATAATATGAACATTCCTTCAGCTCATAAGGGGCTTGATCTCAGTAGAAGGACCATGTTCCACTAAAAGGAGTGACTCTCAGCATCTCTCTGAGTGGGAGTTATGGCCATCTGCAGCTTAAAATGCCCTCCACCTGATTTCTCAATTGGCTGGCAGCCATCTCCAGTCTAAGAAGTCCAACACTGAACTCCACACTTGCGCCTTACTCCCTGCATCCTGCTTCCTTCCTTGTTGCCAACCCCATTCTGTGCTTCCGACAGCTTTTTTCACCTTATTAAATGGCAATTCCATTTGCTCAGTTACTCAGGTCAAAACCTAGATGTCCTCACTGACAGGACTCTTTCCTCCATACTTCATCTGAAATCATTAACAAATCCCATTGGTTCTACTTTTGAAAAATAGCCAGAATTTGTCTAATTCTTACTATTAGCATTATTACTACCATGATCTAAGCTACCATTTTCTTTCACCCGGGTTATTGCAATACTTTCCCCATTTCTATCCTTGCCATCCTGAAGATTACTGTTGCACTGCTTTTGAAGCAATTATTTGGAAATTGAAGGGGAGATTGTGTTTCCCCTCTGCCTAGAACCCTGCAGTGGCTCCTCATCTCTCTCAGAGTGAAAGCCAAGGCCCCAAGGGCCTACCTATCCCTCGGCCTCATTTTACAGACCTCACCCAGTCTACGCCAGCCACACTGCATCCTCCATATTCCTGAACACACCAACATCCTCTTATCTTAGGGCTTGATTCTGAAGTGCTGTCTGCACAGATATCCTTATGGCTCTCCCCATCACTTCTTTCAGGCCTGTGCTTAAATGCTTCTTCTCTGTGAGGCCTTGCTCTGACCCTCTGTATAAATTAGCCATCTTCTGTCTTTGGTTTCTATCTCCAATCACCTGGCACCAGTTATTTCTCTTACCCTGCGTTAGTTTCCTCCCTAGAATTTGCCACCTGTCATATATATTTAGTTGTGATTATATATCTTCTATGTCCTCCCTAGAATGCACGTGAGCACCATGAGGGCAGAGAAGGGGTCTGTTTTGTTCAGTACTCTATCCTCAGCACCTAGAACAGTGCATTGCACGTGCTTTCTAAATGTTGTTCAATGAATGAATGATAATGAAGGTGGGTAAGCAGCTCAGGAACCAATCTGCCTGGGCTCTATTCCTGCCTCGGCTCTCATTGATTATGTCGTTTGGGCAAGTTACTTTGTCTCTTTGGGCTTTGGTTTCTTTACTTGTAAAATGAGGATAGTCATTGTGCCTGCCTCATACATTTTTGGAAAAGAGAGAGTGTACTTAGTTCATGGTAAGTTGTTGAGATGTGTCAGCTCTTGTCACTAGAGCATCTTCCATGTGTGTGGTAGGTAGGCAGTTCTGAGTAGAGTCCCTGGCAACCTGCATCAGAATCGCATGGGGTTGTTTAAAATGCAGCTTCCTGGGCCCCCATTCAGGAATATGAGGAAGGTCCTGAAAGTTTTGCATATTTACTAGCACATTAAAGTTTTAGAATTATATGTTGGAGAGTGGAATAATGGACACAATTAGAGAATGGTGATTATGTGCCTAGAGAACAATCTAGATGAGGAGACCCTGCTGCTTGTGAGGAATCAGACGGATGGACCTTCCCCTCTCAGCAGTGTGTGTGTGTGTGTGTGTGTGTGTGTGTGTGTGTGTGTGTGTGTGATGTGATGGTAGTGATAGGCAGGACTTGGAAGTGGTGTTGAGAAGTAAACTGGTCCTCTAGCTGCTGCCGATTTTAAAATGATTTTGTTCCGAGACAGGAGTTGGTAGCCATGACTAATTATTTTCTTGTTTTTGACAGTGGGATGTTCTATGATGGGAACCACACCTATCTCATTGAGCCAGAAGAAAATGACACCTCCCAAGTAAGTGCTCCTCTGTTGTGGCAAACGTGAAAGTTGATGCTGAAAGCTTTTTTCTTCCTCTTTTTCCCCCTCTCTGCTTTATTTTATTTAAATATATATTTAAAATAATATTGAATATGTCAAAACCACAAGTGGTTTTTTTTTCTTTCTCTTTTAAAAAAATCTGTCTCTCCTTTAAACTGAAAATACTTTCCTTCAGAGGTATTCTGAAGCTTCCATTTCTCTCTCCACCACAATGTATTATGATCTGTCTTAGTCTGCTCAGGATGTCATTACAAAACACTGGGTGGCTTAAACAACAGACATTTATTTTCTCAGTTTTGGTGACTGGAAGTCCAAGATCAAGGTGTCAACAGGGTCAGTGTCTTGGTTGAGGGCTCTGTCTTCGGGTTGCAGACAGATGCCTTCTTGCTATGTCCTCACATCGAAGAGAGAAAGCGAGAGCTCTGGTGTTTCTTCATCCCCTTTTATGGCACAACCCTATTGAACAAGAGCCCCACTCCTACAACTTCACTTAATAATCATTTCCTCACAGGCCCTGTCTCCAAATGCAATCACATTTGGAGTTAAGGCTTCAACATATGGATTGGTGTGGGGGGAAGGGAGGCAAACATTTATTCTATAACAGATCAAAGCCAGATACGTGATTTTCCACCCTCCCTTTCTTTTCTAGATTTGAGATTTTGCTCTATTGTCTTCAAAGCCCAGTGCTGATGAAGTTTAGAGAAATCTAAGTTTTCTCAATTCTTCTCTCACTTTAGTTGAAATATTCATTTTCCACAAATTAGAAAATGATTGAGTTAATGTTATAGACTAGAGAGAAACATAATCCACTTCCATTCTAGCTCTGTACACACAATTATTCTTCCTTGTATCATGGAAGGAACATTGGTCAAACACTTAAAGAGGCAAATACTTTCAAGAAACAGATTGTTTTGCCCCCCATAATCTTGTTTGGGAAACTATCTGTATTGTATATTATTTTCTGGTCTCCACTGCCTGCTCTCCTGTCACTTTGCTTGACCATGTGATTTTTTTAAAGGTTATATTATGAAACTAGACTATTTATGACATTCTTCTTTTAATACCATGAAACTATATTTATGGTAGTTCTTATCATGTTAGCAATTGAATGAAGCCAGATGAAGTTAATTGAATGTTCATTAAAATATAGCTTTTTATCGGTTGGCTTTTCACAGAACTTTGCATGACACTTGAATTTTGGAGCAAGGTCCATTTGGGCATCTGCTGTGCCAGTCAGCATGCTCCTTAATACAAGCAAGTGTGTTAGCTCAGCATTTTTTGCCTAGCAAAGCTCTCTGACTCTAAAAGGGAGGCAGGGAATCGTGGAAAGGAACCAGTCATAAAAAACATTAACCCATTTTCCCAGGTGCCTTGCTTCTCCTTGGGGGGATAGGCCCATTCATTTATTTTCCAAATGGCTTCTCTGTGAAGGCATTTTGCTTCTAATAGGATGCCACTTGGGTGCAGGAGAACACAGGAGTGAGTGTGAGCTCTTGTGTAATGGCTCATTGCCACTTTAAACCCAGGAGTCTGTGTAGTCAAGTTACCATGTCTTAAGGGTTCCAGCTCCTCCAGCTCTGATTGCCCGAGGCTGGAGGTGTCTGGAAGCACATGCTTAATCTCTATTGTCTGTGTTATTTCAGGAGGATTTCCGTTTTCACTCAGTTTACAAATCCAGACTCTTTGAATTTCCTTTGGATGATCTCCCCTCTGGTATGAAATTCTTATAATGACTTAAAAAAACAACTTTAATAATTTATTTGAATGCTGTAGAGCTCATCTATCGCTGGAATATTGTTAGCACACAACTGCTCATAATTTCAGAGAGAAAGTCAAATGCGTCAAGAGGGAGAATAAAATGCAGACTGACCTCATGCTGACAGTGGATGAGTTTGGAAAGATATAACTCAAACACATTGAAGGAAAACTTTTTAAAATCATAAGATTCTAAGTAAGATACTATAAGATAAATAACGTTAGATCAGAAATCGGTCTGCATAGGTAACATATGTAAAAATTCACTCTTGGTAAAATACTGTGTTGTAACCGTAGGGTTGAACTCTTAATCATTTCCCATTTGTTGTTATCTTCATCTCTCTATGCCCAGCATTTTAAGGAAGAACTATTTTAGATTAACATTTTTGTTTTATGTGCTATTTGTGGAATTAGTCTTTCCTTCTCATGAATGTTTATTGGTCCATTTGTTTACAAATGTTGATTTAAGAGTTGCATCCAAATCTTTACGTGACAATTGGCCTCGTTTAGTGGAGCAGTGATTGTGCAGGGTCCTAGCTACGCGGGGCTCATTGTGTTCTCCTCTGAAGACAGGGCGCACTCCCAATATCTGGGGTGGAGATGCTTCTCCCTGTTCAGTGAGCCCTGGTCATGGCCATAATACATTCTAAATTTTAATCTCACTTTAATTTGTGCAACAGCTCTGTGAGATATATATTAATATTTCCATTTTATAGATGAAGCTCAGCTGGTTTCTTTTCCATGGTCCCACAGCTAGGAAGAGATGGACTGGAAGTTTGGATTATGGCACAATGAGAATGTTCTCTGGGAGAGAGGACCAAGGGGAGTTGGAAAATTTACTAAACTGATAGCAAATCCTAAACTACTGCTTAGGAAAATGACTTACAAGTTTTCATTGTCTTCTCATCAGAAATGAAATAAATATTTTCTAATGTCCCTTCCTCTCTGAAATAAATTGGTAACTCCTTGACTTCATGCAGTTCCCTTAAAGAGAACTAGGACTCTTCCTTCTCTCCCGTTGCCAAGGGGATATAAGGTCCTATTTTATAGAATTCACTATTTTGAAAAATCTGCAAATGAGCCTATAATGCTCTTATTTCACACAGCTACCTATGTAACTTTTATAATCCCTCTTATGGGAAGAAAATTATTCATGACTAGCTGCCTGAGAATAAAGCCACAATCTAATAGATATTACTGGAAGTAATCAACATTAATTAATATTTAAAGTGATAAATAACCCCCCCCCCCAGACTTTATTGTAGGCTTGCCATGATACAATCTTGTAATTTGAAAAAAAAAAAAGAGAGACTTTCTTGAGGGCTTATTTCCAACAGAAATTTTGGAAGTGACTTGGCCGTTTTGCTGTTATTAAAAATGAGTTTTGAACATATTCTATGAAAACTCAGGTCTGTCTTAATTAATTTCTGGTTTTCTTTTCTTATCAGAAGTTGGTACTGTCAATTTTGAGTGTTATTTATCTTCCAAGACGCTTAGATTTACTATGATAAGTTAGAAGAAAATTAGAAATAAATGTCAAAACTGCAATTTTTGTGAAATAAGCTCAAAAGTAAACTTATTATTTTGTAATTAAATATAGTTTCACTGGGTTATGGATTATCAGCACCTTTGTCTTTTTATGCATTATGTATTTCCCAGAGACAGAATATTATCAGGTGTTCTTCACACTTGTTTGATGGTAGAACCTTTTGTTTTACGTGACACATCTCTTAGGACTAGTGTCTTTTCTTTCTTTGTTTTTCTTTTTGATCAATTTTATACTCTCATATATGAGAGTCTTAATTGCTTCACCAACACTTCTTCACCAACACTTAGAGTGTCATTCTTTAATGAAGGTCAGTAGTAAACATGTAGGTCAAGTTGGCTATTTAGAAGGTTCCCAATAAAGAATGTAATGGTTTTATGGGAGAAATATGAGAAAAACTTTGAGATAAGTTAGAACAGGAATAATGTTTGAAATTTTTTTGAATTATACTCATTCATAATGTATTTATTCAGTATTGATATGAACACAATTGTTTTGATTAATGTTCTGTATTATCATTAAGTGCAACATTATATCTTATAAAATTTACAACTAGTTATTAATAATTACAAGTATTAATAAATTCTAATTATATAATTTTTATTAGGAAGGGCTAGTAAAACTTTGATTGCCTTGTATGAACTAAAGATAGACATTTCAATAAGTTTAATTTAATTTATTTTTATTTCCTTTTAGAGTTCCAACAAGTAAACATCACTCCACCAAAATTTATTTTGAAGCCAAGACCAAAAAGGACTAAACGGCAGGTATGTATTCACAGGTATATATCGTGATGCTTTAAAAACACGTGGCAACTGCCAGTCAATTGACTCCACACTAAGTCCCTGTGAGAGGATATTAGTCACGACATTTGTCAGGGTGTGGTAAGCAGTAAGCACGATGGATCTGTCGCCAGCAGTGGAGGTGTGGCTATATTTTTTCATAGACTCAGAAAGGACTCAAGACAGTGGTGATAATGTGGTTATTCATCATGTAGATGGATTATGGGGCCCTGCCGTGGCATCTCAGATGCTTTCTGACACAGGCCTTTTTCCTTACCTGGTATGCACCACCTTGTATGCATATCCTGGGATCTGCCTGTATGGTGCATAACCTTGTGTTTATCCTTTTAAAGATAACCCCTTCTGAGTGAATACATCAGGTTTTGAAGCCACAAATGCTATTGTCACATCTGAGTTATTTTGGAGTCTAGAATATAAAATTAGGATGTCTACTTTATGAATGTTTAATGCATCTTGGACTTAGTAATAAAAATAACAACTGTTTGTACAGTGCTTTAGCCACATGAAGTAGGTACTACTATTATTACTCTTATCCAGGAAAAAAAACAATGGCTTTTCAATGTGAAAATGACTCATGCAGAATTATGGAACTGATAAATGGTTCAGACAAAATAAGAACTCGGGCCATCAGAATTAAGCAATCATCACCATTGTGGTGGTGGTTGGTGTGATAGTATGTGTGTGGCATAAAAACACAGGGTGAGAGAACTAGATCTTTAGTAAGATCAAACTGTTGAAGGAAACAGGTATTTTCTTTTTAAAATATGTTCAATCTGTATGAAATAAAACATGTTTACAGACAAATTTCTAGTGTGAATAGTAATTGCTAAATTTTATTGAGTACTTAGAATGTGCCTGGCCCTGTTCTAAGAATTCTAATTGTATTAACACATGTAATCCTCATAACAATCTTATAAGGAAGGTATTATTATTATCTCCATTTTACTGATAAGGACATTTAAGCATAGGAGGCTTAAGTAATTTGCCCATGGATATATTGGGTTACCCAGTGGTGGATCTGGGATTCTGACCTAGAAAGTCTGGTCTCAGAGTTCTGATAACCACATATGCTTAATATACTGACTCTCGGAAGTCTTTGTGTTCTATGAATTACTACTATGAACTTTATATATTTTGTGAATATGCATATATATTGAGGCCCAATTAAATAGACATAAGTAATTGCCATGAGGATTTAATTGGAAACAGGAATTATTTTCATAAGTTAATAAATGAGAGAATAGGATGATTTTCTGTTGACATAATTCTTTATGTTTTTCATAAACATTTGTAACATCCAGTCATATGCTAAGCAGACAAACTCTTGATTTCTCTTTCTGAGAACCATGTGGACCCAGGGAGATGAAGTGTTTTAAAACTTTGTGGCCAATATTGGCAACTTTCTGACCTTCAGAAAATGTCGAAACTCATGAATCTACTGTATTAACTTATAAGGCTCAGTCTCCTCCACAGTTAAAAAGCAGAGACTAGCACCCTAAAAACACCCACTTTTAAAGAGACTCCTAAGATTGGGTGCAGTTTATGTGACTTTTTGGTTTCCAAAGCTCAAATTATGTCTGTCATTCCTTACCAAGTTATTATAAGGGATTTTGAAAAAATATATTTTTTAAAGTTTGGGAGTGTGTTAGCAATGAAACAAAATCCACATGGCAGGAATGTTTTAGTTTGCTTTAAATGTAGTACTCAAAACACATTCATTATGGATTTAGATTTGATTGTATACCCTCATCACCAAAATGGCCCTTGGGCAAGTGAGCAAAAAGATTTTATTGAAAAAATTGTTTATCAAAAAGCATGGCGTAAAGGGAAAAGTTAATTTTGCGTACCTTGTTAAAGATTGTGTTATAGACTAACTGCGGAGAACAAAGGCATATGGCTGCCTTAGTGGCTCTTGCCAGTAGCGTTCTCTGGTCATGATTTTGAAGGTGGAGAAAATTTGTTGTTGAACAGACAGATGTAGCTGCACTGCATAACCCAAACCTGGGAACTCTCAGAACTATCCTAACAAAGTTCCTGTGTCATTTGGGGGATCCCCTCACTCCTGCCAGAGGAAGGAACATGTCTCAATCCCAGATTTGGAGATTAAAGAACACAAGTGTCAATCATCTCACTCCCGGTAGACCTCTCAGAGATTCGCAGGAGCTTAAATTAAACCATTTTATTACAATCTCTGAGGTCTACTGTTAAATGAAAATAGCCTGAGAATGAAATAGATGGAAGTACATAATGAAATGCATATCCTTTGATTTATATGCATACATATTTCTGGAAGAAACCAGTAACTGCTGTACCCATTGTTGGGGAAGGATAAAAACTGGGTAAATGGGGACAGAGGCGAGAGGAAGACTTTTACCCTCTACTTGTTTATAATTCTTTAATTATTGAACCATGTAAATGTATTACTTCCTCAAAAATTAAATTAATTGAAGAAAATGAAAAAATAAATGCTAAATGAATAAAAGGGGGAAACTGTTTTGTTTACTTCTCCCATATTTTTTAGTTTCTCTTATTAAAAAATTTTCAGCTTGCCCTGACCAGTTTGCTCAGTGGCTAGAGCGTCGGCCTGTGGACTGAAGAGTCCCAGGTTCGATTCTGGTCAAGGGCATGTACCTTGGTTGCAGGCACATCCCCAGTAGGGGGTGTGCAGGAGGCAGCTGATCGATGTTTCTCTCTCATCGATGTTTCTAACTCTCTATCCCTCTCCCTTCCTCTCTGTAAAAAATCAATAAAATATATTTTCAAAAAATTTTCAGCTTTATTGAGGTATAATTAACAAATAAAATTGTAAGATATTTAAGTGTGCATTGTGAAAACATTTCCCCATGGAGTTAATTAACACATCTATCACCTCACTCATTACCTATTTAGGGAGTGAGAACATTGAAGTTCTGCTTTCTTAGCAACTTTGTTATACAAGGCAGTATTATTAATGTGAGTGTCCATCAAAGAACAAATGGATCAAGAAAATGTGGCATATATACAATAGAATATTATTCAGCCTTAAATCCAAAATACAAAAATGCACGGTATCACTTATAAATGGAATCTAAAAAACAACAACAAAAAAGTCAAACTCATGAAAACAGAATAGAAAAGTGGTTGCCCGGGTCTAAGAGGCGGGGGGGGGGGGGGGGGGGGGGGGGGGGGGGAATAGGGAGAGGTTGGTGAAAAGGTACACATTTTCACCTATAAGGTGAATAAGGTCTGAGAATCTAATGTCTAACATATTTTTTAGTTTTTCACAGCCAAGTTCAGAGGGCCTATTTAGGTGCCATTTCCTTTACTATATTGCAGCTCCATCGCCATCCTCGAAATGTAGAGGAGGAAACCAAATATATTGAACTGATGATTGTGAACGATCATCTCATGGTAGGATTTGCTGAATTTGTTGTTGTTTGTACTTGTTCGTACCTTGGATAAAACTGGTCAGTGCAGGAATATGTTTAGAAGAGAGGTCCATAAAGCGTTAACCTGGACAAGGTATTTGTGTAACCAGATATGTTTGTTACCCAGCAACAACCTATAAAAAGGAAACACCCTTAGGTGAAAGTAACTAATGGTATTTTGTGAAGTTCCAAAAATATTTCTGGGACTCATAATGTCAACTCTTTCTTGATTAATATCAATTCCTACTTGACTAATATAGGGGCTAATATTTCCTCTTACTAAAATGGCAAGATTTTTTAAAAATGAAAAGTTCTACTAGTGAGACACCAATAATGTGACACTTTAGTTTTCAATGTTCAAGTTTATCCTAGTGAAATAGAAGCAACATTTCTATTTCTGTCTTGCTGTGCAGTAAACCATATGGGAAAGCTTATATAGCCAAGTAATAAAGATTTTTAGGATAAGAACCTAGCAAAACTCATTTTTGTTGAGTCTGTTATTTTGTTATATTCAATTCCTGTATAGATTCAGTTCATGGGCATGTAACAGTCATATGGTTATAGTCACAGTCTAGTCTTATATTAATTCTGCATAACTAGGGCATTGTACTAAAAGTGTTCAATGATGCACATTGCTTGATTTTATTTAATTTCACATGAAAGTACATTTGGGTTTACTTTGAATGATTTATTTGAGGGAAAATATAATTTATTTACATATGATTAAACAAATAATATCAATTTTATTTTATTTTATTTTTTATTTATTTATTTATTTATTTATTTTTTTTATTTGTTCAAGGACTCATGTTGCAAGCATTACACCAGGTATGGGCTTTGATTCTGTAAGCCCAGATTCACATATTTAGGAGGATAAAAGCAAACTGTGATCCATGTTCATGGATGGAAACTAAAGGCTCATGGTTAATCACATTGTAGTTCTTAAATTTCTACAGCCTAGAACCCTGTAGTCACAGGTTTTTGAGGTCCTTCTGGATGTTCCAGAGGGTATCTGCACTTTTCTTGAGTTGAGCAACCTCATCATCCTTCAGTTTCTGGTTGATAACACTGGTTAATCCCCGAGCATTCAGAATACACGGGAGACTCAGGAAGACTTCATTCTCAATGCCATACATCCCCTTCACCATCGTTGATACTGGATGAATCCTGGATAAATTTTTAAACATGGATTCAATGAGATCAGCCACACTTAATCCAATAGCCCAATTGGTGTATCCTTTTAACTTGATGACTTCATAGGCACTTTCAACCACCATCTTATGCACTTCCTTCCAATTTTCACTGTCATTGTCCGTTCCCATTTCTGGATTCAGTTCCTGGAGAGAAACGCCTGCCACATTCACTCCACTCCACACAGCCACACTTGAGTCGCCATGTTCTCCCAAAATCCATCCATGGCAGCTGCTGGGATGAATGCCAAGTTTTTCAGCCATAAGGTAGCGAAATCTAGCAGAACCCAGATTACATCCACTTCCAATCACACGGTGCTTGGGTAATCCACTTAGTTTCCAGGTAACATATGTGAGAATATCCACTGGGTTAGAAACCACAATTATGATGCAATCAGGGCTGTACTTGACGATCTGAGGAATAATGAATTTGAAGACATTAACATTCCTCTGCACCAGGTTCAGACGACTCTCTCCCTCTTGCTGGCGAACTCCAGCAGTTACCACCACAATCTTAGAATTGGCGGTCACAGAGTAGTCTTTATCTGCCACAATTTTAGGTGTCTGAAGAAATAAGCTTCCATGCTGCAGGTCCATCATTTCTCCTTTGAGTTTATCTTCCAACACATCCACAAGGGCCAGCTCATCAGCCAGAGACTTTCCCAGAATGCTGATGGCACACACCATACCAACTTGTCCAACACCCACGACAGTGATCTTATTGTTTGGGATTGTTGCCTCTTCTTTGGCAAGTGGTGCAATCAGTTTTTCCTTAAGAGTCGCCATTGTGCCCAGGAGAGAGAAGACTGCTCAGATGGGAGGAAGAGTCGCGCCAAGAAAACAGTTTCAGCTGCGAGCGTCTGCTTGGGCGCAGGCTCTGCCAAATAATACCAATTTTAATTCTTTTTACTGATTATACCATCAAGATTGAGTGCTTCTTTCTTGCTCAGGCTAAGACTAAGTTTTACCTTTCTACCTTTTCAAATTCAGTGCATGTTACTATTTCCTGAGATTTTTACAAAACAAGCATAAGTTGCAAAAACATAATTTTGGGTATTTTGGAATATCACAAATTCACATGTCTATAGACATCTTTATGCAGAAAACACAAATCAAGTGAGTCAGGTGTTAAACAATAGAGAGGAGTGAGGCCTGTGGTGAAGAAAGGAATGTCACATGGCTGGTCTAGTGGGTCCCGTTTTTACCATGTGGGGATGCTAATTTAAAGTGAAGCCAGAAATCAGGTTTTACATGGTATTTCCTGAGTTTTAAAACAGCATTGGGGCCAAACAAAAGATATATGTGATTCACATCTAGCCTATAAACTACCTCTTTGTAACCTTTAGGGCTTTCTTCTCCTGACTGATTAGTCTCATAGAATTCATACATTTTTATACTTTTAGCAGTATTCACATTCACTTTATCTGACTTGGATGCTACATATATTAGTATGTCTTGCAATTCATAGATAACTTTATATGTTTTAATCATTTCTGAATAATAATCACTTGGTAGAAATAAATTTGTGGAGTAGATGGAATGAGTATTTTTTCCTTCATATCACAGATGAGTAAACTGAGGCCTCCAACTTTTAAGAGCCTTTTCTCAGACTATAGCATATAAAGGACTAGGTCTCAATTCTTATTTATTTATATAAGAATTTTTTTTTAACAGAAAACCATAGAGATCTTTTAATTACACCATGTCTTCTTTGTTGAGTTGATTATTTGCTGATGACTTTGAAAGCCCTTCACTTGTTTCCTTTTGCTTTCAGTTTAAAAAACATCGGCTTTCAGTTGTACATACCAATACATATGCGAAATCTGTGGTGAACATGGCGGATTTAGTAAGTATCAACCCGATTCAATATTGCCATAGAGGAATTTTATCACTTGATGGCTAGTAGAACAGATAATATGGTTCTTAAATTTTCACTACTCTAAGTTACACTTTAGCCAAGGTGTCTCCCAAATCCCTGGTAACCGTGCAGTTGACTTTATTGACTTCGATATCTGGCTGGGAAGATGATAAAAGGAAGTGGCCACAGTTTCCCACAGGTTTATGCCTGATATTCCTTCCTGAATTTTTCACATGGGAAAAAGAAAAGGTTGGGTCATAGGCCATAACAAAGATACTCACCTTGTACTTCCACCAGTGGAAAAGCAGTATAAGATTTGCCTTTTTCAAAAGGGTGCCTGATGCTGTGGGAATTATGCAACTAAATAATCCTACTGAATCTACTTTCCAAATCTTCCCCTCACAAGACAATGCCTGTACCTTCTCTATGACGTTATTCAGGGACAGTCGGGTTGGTAGAGAGGATTTCCTTGGAGAGTCTTCATTGTTCCATTTCTGCTAGGGCAGTGGTCGGCAAACTGTGGCTCTCGAGCCACATGCGGCTCGTTGGCCCCTTGGGTGTGGCTCTTCCACAAAATACCGACTTCTGCGCATGGGCCACGAAGTTTCAATCGCACTGTACGTGCTCGCCCGCACGTGGTATTTTGTGGAAGAGCCACACTCAAGGGGCCAAAGAGCCGCATATGGCTCACAAGCCGCAGTTTGCCGACCACTGTGCTAGGGGAACTCAAGAATGCATGGATGCTTTGTCTGAGTGCCAGAAGGTGGACTCAGGGAGAGCCTTGAATACGGGCACCAGTATTTGTCAAAACATGATTTTTTTGTTTCTAACTAGTGCTATTCTTTGGGTGTTACTTGCTAAACAATTGATTCCCTGTTACTCAAGGGAAATGTATGTAAGTTAGAAAAATAATTATCTCCCTTAAAAACAATGAAATTTCTTACATTAACTAAAACTCAAGGTATTTCCTTAAGTAGAAATTTTTGTCCTGTTCATTAAACATTTGATTTTACCACATGTATAGCTGGTGTGTTCATTTTGTTATATACTAGATATATAAAGACCAACTTAAGACAAGGATAGTATTGGTTGCCATGGAAACCTGGGCAGCTGACAACAAGTTTGCCATATCTGAAAATCCATTGATCACCCTACGTGAGTTTATGAAATACAGGAGGGATTTTATCAAAGAGAAAAGTGACGCAGTTCACCTTTTTTCGTACGTAACTTTTGTAATGATTTATTACTTTTCCTGGTTCCATGTTGAATGCTCTATGACCTGTGACTGCAGCTTATCCTTTGTACTGCATAATACAATTAGGATTTGATAGGGAAGATACATTTGGAAGAAGTTTTTAAAGTATAGATTGTTTCAAATTGGCATGAAAATGTAAGAGCTTTAATTATGAGTTATTTTCTTATTGCATATACATTTCATTTAAATTTTCAAGAGGTTTAATGAAAGCATGTATTGAGTAGAAGTACTGTTAATGTGCATACAGAGTATTTTTAACTTATTAATTATACTCTTTAAAGTTGTTGGCTTTTAAATGTTAGCTATGTTTTTGATTTAAGTTGAGAGCTTAGTATTTCCAGAGTTTATCTTTTGTTTTTCTCACTCTTAAAGGTTTTTTTGTAACATGTTTATTTGATGTAATAGCAAGATATATATAATAGCATTTTAAAAACCTATCATTTGAAGTCAGAGCTTTTGTTGAAGAAAGTTATAAATGGAACTAAAAGAGTATATTTTGGGGGTAACTTTTTATTTTTATATAATTTCAAACTTAGAGAAAAGTTGTAAGGAAAAACCCTATGCCTTTCATCCAGACTCATTAATTGTTTACATTTTGCCCCATTTGTTTTATTATTTCTTTCCTTTCTTTCTTCTTACCCCTTTTTCTTCCTTTCATCCATCTATCAGGTTTTTTTTTTTTTCCTGAACCATTTGAGAGTAACTTGGAGACCTTACTAGGCATTTACTACTTAATACTCAAGGCATTTTCTTATATAACTATAGTAAATTATTAAAACCAGATAATTTAGCATTGGTATAATATGTTATTTAAACTATAGTCTATATTCAAATTTTACTAATTGTCTCAATAATGTCTTTTATAGCTAATTCTGTCCTGCTTCAAATTCAGAATCCAATGCAGGACCACACATTGCTGTCATGTCTCTTTAATCCGTAATCTGGAAGATTTCCTCAGCCTTTCTTTGTTTATTTTGAATTTAACACTTTGAAGCATATCGGCCTATTATTTTATAGAATGCCCCTCTTTGTGGGGCTGATATTTTCTCATTATAAGATTCAAGTTATGCATTTTTTGGGCAGAAATAGCACAGTAGTGATTTTGTATCCTTCTCAGAGTACATCTTACTAGTAATTCTTTTTTAATAGGTAGAGTTCTCTTGAAGATAGTGATTATATGGGGAAACATCCCCAGAAACCTTTCTTTTTGGTCATGTGTATAAATAATTTTCATATTCCTTCTTTGCTTCAGGAACATATAGTATACAAATGTTATGTGCATTGAGAAAATAAGTGTGATAAATTAATAATGAGAGGTGTTATGATATTTGAACTGCGAGCAGTAAGTATTTTTCATTTCCTTTTCTGAAAGGGGAAGTCAATTTGAGAGTAGCCGGAGCGGGGCAGCTTATATTGGTGGGATTTGCTCGTTGCTGAAAGGAGGAGGCGTGAATGAAGTAGGTGTGAACATCTGTACAGTACAAAGTGGTATGATGGCTGAAAATGTTTTCCTAATATTTAAGAGATAAGTTCTCAGTATTCCACATTCTCCACGTTAGGTTGTTTTATTAATACCAGTGTAGTTACTGTAAATGACCAGAGGGCAGAATAAGGAAATAACAGAAGATATTATCTGATAATTCTGTTCATGTTCTACTTAGAATGATTTCCAGATTTAGCTATTTACAGATTTTTTAGTGAAAATATTTACTTTTACCTTCATGGACAATAAAGCCTTGTTTATCACTTTGATTTTCCAGAGAATTGAGTAATTCTCTGAATTGTCCAGCATACTACAAAAACCCAATTGGAAATTTTCTTCCTTCTTTGATACTTGGCAAATTTTTGGAGAAAAAAAATAGACCAGGCCTTTCAAAGGGTTCCTTCTACCCCCAAGGCACTAAATCTGGTGGAAGTGACCTAAAAGGAAATACTTGAATCCTTGGGAGGCTGTATATTGAAAAAAATACCTCTAGGCCCCCTTAAGTTTCTTTTGGCCAAAGATCATCACCACATCCTGTTATTTAGCATTTGTTCTCAGAAGCCACGTTCTATTTAGTTTGGGGAAATTTCAGGAGTACAAGTGGACACACAGAGATGAAAAGTTCCAAATAATTTACTCATTTATTATTATTATTATCCAAATCACTAATTATATGTAAATATTACATTTTTCAGACATATCACTGGTGAAATTTGGACTCAGAATTAGGTTTAAGTTTCCAAACCGATAAGTTGGCGATTCCCTGGTTTCTAGTCTATAAGGCTTAATCAAACACGGATTTATTTCTTACTACGTCTCCCCAAATGCTCAGTAGTTCAGTATTGGCTATTATGTGTTTAACCTGTGCCAAATAAAATACTTAGAGATTACTTATTTTCAATTATATTGTGAATTTTTCTCTGGCCCATCTTAAGTAAAAATAATTTGCATTTACATGTATTTTACTTTTGTTTTGTTTTTCAGTTTGGGAAAACTGATTTAATGGCAGTTACACTTGCCCAGTCATTAGCCCATAATATTGGTATTATCTCAGACAAAAGAAAGTTAGCAAGTGGTAAGTTAAAGTACATGTGTGGTTTAATAGTATTTAAAATAGACTATCTGTGAAATATTTTGGAGAATGAAATTCTTTAATTCAGTTGCTTGATCAAAAGAGTTTGGATGATAACATAAGATAAACAGCTAGGGCATAAAACAAAACATTTTTCAAAAGTAATACACCATTATATTTATAATACAGATGAAAATTTCTCCATGTGTTATGAATGTTTAAAGTTATGTGATGATAAACGTTTGAATTTCACATAAAAAGGACAAAATAATTTTAAATGTTTTAATAAAAAAATCCTAGGCATATAGGTTTAAGGCATACTGTTTTATTATGGTTTATTTAAAACATCTCTTAATATGGCCATAGAGAATTTGCCTGACTGATAAAGGTCTTAGTCAATATGGACCTAGTGAAATATGCTATGTTTAGCATCTATGAGGAATATATTTTACCAAATTACTTTACTATGTATTATGAGTACATTGCTTATAGTCATATTTATTTTATTTTTAATAACAGACATTATAAATATGATTGCTTATATTAATAACTATGATAATTTGTGGAATACCGATTATATGACAAACAATTGAATGCCAGTATTATCTACATGTAGATACTCATTTAATTCTCTAGATATTCCTGCAAGATATGCATTATTAGCTCCATTTTACAGATGTGACTAGATCATAAAAGGCTAATGTCTCAAGATTAAGTTAAATGGCAAGCCCAGGTTTTGAACCTGGGTGATTCTGATTCTGAAGCCCTTCTGCTTAACCGATATATCATACTGCCTTCTGCCAGCGGCCTTGGTGCAGAGGCTTTTTAACAATAAACAGGAAATTATAAGAATTCTCATAAAGGCCTGTGAAACTAAGATCCTGGAGTGGTATGTCACTATTTCATTGTATTTTATTTTAAGTGAATTCTTTCAAAATATGGCCACTTGATAAAATATCAAAAGATTTAATTTTAGTAAGAATTATGTGAACTTGACAGGGTCAGGGTAGATGTTTGTGGTTATTCACTGCATAGAAACTATAAAAAAAATTAGAAAGCAGGTATTACTTTTTAAAAATTATATTAGGAACAAAGTTAAGATATACTCTTTAAGATAGGAACTACTCGAAGGCACCTGTTTTTACATTGTAATAAGGCGTGTGTATTCCTCTTCTCTTAGGTGAGTGTAAATGTGAGGACACATGGTCTGGATGCATAATGGGAGACACCGGGTGAGCCACCTCTACTTGAAAATACCTCACTTTTCCTTTCCCTGCTGTGCTGCTGTCTTCCTAGGAATATGACACCCAATAACTTAGTGCATGGACCCTCACCACAGGCATTTAGGAGAGAATCAGTAGGTTTTCTCAGTGGCTTTGTTATGTAAAATATTTTCACAAACGACTATCTTATTTATGAAAACAATTGATGTCAATTAATCAGGAAGGTCAAAGGTCAAAGATGTTTTTGACCCTGAATCTAGGCTGGAAATGAGGAACAGTTTCGTTCTTGATGGCTTACATACTAATCTCATTCCTTTTACCTTCTTCAATTCAAATTCAGTGGGTATTAAACAGGACTGTGCTGGTAAGCTGACTCACAAAAACAAAAACAAGAAAAAAGCCCAGATTTGTCACTTCTCGGATTGCCAGCAGCCTTCCACCATAAGTAGAGCCTATGGTGTAGACCAGTGATGGCGAACCTTTTGAGCTCGGCGTGTCGGCATTTTGAAAAACCCTAACTTAACTGTGGTGCCGTGTCGCATATAGAAATTTTTTGATATTTGCAACCATAGTAAAACAAAGATTTACATTTTTGATATTTACTTTATATATTTAAATGCCATTTAACAAAGAAAAATCAACCAAAAAAATGAGTTCGCGTGTCACCTCTGACACGTGTGTCATAGGTTCGCCATCACTGGTGTAGACACTACAAGGGCTGGTTTCAAGCTACCACAGGCGCCTCACTGAAAGAGGAGTGGGAGGAGTTGTGCACAATTGCTCTCCTGAGAAAGGTTTTTATTTGTACCCTGTCCCACCCGTCACACACTATCAGGCATTAACCTTTTATTCTTTCTAAATTCTACAATCATTCCTTTCGTGCCAAGCTTATCACTATCCTTCAGTTGTTTTTTTTAAAATTAATCTTCATTGTTGAGATTACTACAGATGGCCCTCTTTTTTCCTCCCATAGCTCCCCTCCACCCAGTTGCCACCCCACCCCAGGCCCTCGCCACCCTATTGTCTGTGTCCATAGGTAATGCATACATGCATATAAGATCTTTGTCTAATCTCTTCTCGAACCCCCCCTCCCCCGCCCCCCACACACACACTTTTAAACTTTCATCATCTCGTAATCTTATTTCAGTAACATTCCAGATACTCAGCTTCGGGGCTCCCTCTCTTCCATCCACTTCCATCATAATTGAAAAGGTAGAAGGAATGAAAGAGTGAACAGTTATAAACTATTATCCAGATTTTAAAAATTAAATATTTACTATATAATTAAATACCATGGTTAATGTTACAATAACAATATTAAAATAATGTTTAAATGCAATATCTTTTTCTTTTCATTTTTATTGTTCTTTTATAAAATTTGGATCCTGTTGGATATATAACCATTTATTCATTTTTTTACTTAACATTATATAATCAACATTTTTTTCTGAGTCTTTATTTTTGAACACCATGATTATTAATAACTACATGGTATTCTATTTTATTAACAGGTTGTTGTTTTTTTTAACTGTTGAACATTTAGGTTATTTTCATGTTATTTGCTATTATAAACTGTGCCACCATAAATATCTGAGTTCAGACATATTTGAACACATAGCTATCTCCTCAAGAAAAATTTTTTATTTTATTTATTTATTTTTTAAAATATATTTTATTGGGTTTTTTTACAGAGAGGAAGGGAGAGGGATAGAGAGTTAGAAACATCGATCAGCTGCCTCCTGCACACTCCCCACTGGGTACGTGCCCGAAACCAAGGTACATGCCCTTGACCGGAATCGAACCTGGGACCCCTCAGTCTGCAGGCCGAAGCTCTATCCACTGAGCCAAACCGGTTAGGGCTCAAGAAAAAATTTTTAAATTAAAACTATTAGATTTGAGAATATTTCTCATTTTGAAGATTCTTAACACACATTGCCAAATTGCTCTATAGTTATTTCTTTTTCTATTGACCCTTTGTTACTTTATTTGTATACATTTTTTGAAACAATCTTGAAAATTTGCAAGAATAGTAACAAAACCTTTTTGTCCTTGAATCATAAATTGCTAACTTGGTGCCCCATCACTGCCAACAACTTAGTGTGCATTTCTACCAATAAGGACATCCTCCTACAGAAACACAGTACAACAAATAAAATCATCTCATTCTTAGCCCTCATTCAACACTGGCTCTGTGTTTCAGAATGTCATTTTAGAAAAGGTTCAGAATCAGGCATCAGTTTTTTTATGTCTCTTTAGCCTCCTTCAGTCTGGAACAGTTCTTGACTTTCTTTGACTGTCATGACCTTGACACATTTGTAGATTATAGGTCAGTTGTTTTGTAGACTGCTTTGCAGTTTGGGTTCCAGCCCAATTGTAATATTTAGGAATGACTTATTATGAAATAAATTATTCCTCTTTTTGATGGAAATTACAAGTGTGTGTGTTTCCTTTGAATATGTATGCAAATAATGAACAACCCATCATCACTATTGGTCACCAAATGAAGAATTTAGAAATATACTGATTGAATAAAACTTTTAGGGATTTGAATGCAAATATTGTACATAAGTGGAATTTATTTTTCACTTTTGAGAAAATGTATAATTTTAACAATGTTCAATTTTAACACTAATATTCAGACAGGGGAGACAAAAAATTGTACCCAGCTATTAATTTCCTTCTGTCTTATAGCTACTATCTTCCTAAGAAGTTTACCCAGTGTAATGTTGAAGAGTATCATGACTTCCTGAATAGTGGAGGTGGAGCCTGCCTTTTCAACAAACCTTCTAAGGTAATAAGTGTGATCAGTTATTAGTTATTAATCTTTCTAAAGTATGATAAACACAAACTTTTCAGCCATTTGGTCTTATAAAAGAGAGCTTTTCAACCTGGCTTGTACATATTGAATATGTACGTATTCTAAATTTGCTGAGTATTTGCATTTTCAAAGCCAGCTTTAATCTTGAGCATTTGGGGCTTTTCTGATAGGAATAGGAAGTAGGTAGAAATAAGAATGTTTGCTTTCTGAAAATTTTTCATTTTCTATTTATACAGCCACATGATGATTCAGGGATAACTTACAAAATGTTTTCATTTCGTTTTTCTTGAGTTCCCCTCTTTGGATACATAATCACAACTCATACCGGTAGAAAGGGGGTGGGGGCATAGCTGCCTTCATTACTTCCTGCCATTGCCTTTCAGAATAAGCAGTATGATTAAAATTGTACTTCTCAATATGAAAACCAAGTTTGCTTAAAGAAGAGAAGGAGAAAGTCTTTCTGTGCTTAGACTTTGTCAGAGGCTTTTGCAAGGTGAGGAACGTCCTTTGATCACTGACTGCCTGAAAGCAGGTCTTCCTCCTGCCCTTGGAAGTCTGCACATTAAAGAAGAATGCTTTGTCCTTGTCAATTACGTCAACTGTGATACGTGCTTCTGCGCACCACAGCCTTGGGAGTCACTCACCTGGTTTCATCCTCTGTCACTCTGGTGACATTTAGGAAATGTATCACATGGCAATAAAATGACTTTAGCACCGAAAGTTCCAGAAGTGATAATTGAACAAAATTCTTACTTCTATAAAGGAAAAACAGTTCAAGTCTTTTTACCAAAATTACTGATTATTCTGAACCCAGAAGAAGAGAATAAGAGTGCTTTTCACCTAGATACGTTTTAGTTTGGGCTTCCAAAGCTGTCTCATTTGTTATGCTCTCTTTCAATGGAAATGAAATTGAGAGATAGATGAATTGATTCTTTTGTTGGAGAGGAGAGAGTATTTGAAATTAGGTGGGGATTCTTTGTTGTTGTTGTTGTTGCTTTCTTTATTTGGTTTTGCTTCTTCCCTCTAGTTGGTTTTAAGAAAGTGTGTGTGTGTGTGTGTGTGTGTGTGTTGATAGGTGTGTATTCACTGCCATTCTGTAAAACGTAGACTTTGATTAATTTTTGAATGGATATTATATATTTAAAACATAGCAACTATATTTAATAATTTTACCTATAATCATAAGATAAATTATAGTCAAAACATATATTGATGGAGAGTTAAAAATTAAACAGTCTTAAAATATATTCTTGTACAGACCAAAAACTGCTTCTGTTTCTGGGGAAAGTTATCATTGCTGTTGTCTGCAGGACTATGTTAATAGGAGGAGCAATATTTTGTATTAAAAATCAGTGGATTTGTTATTTTGTGATGTTTTCCTCATTGTCAATGAAATAACTTTCTGTTACACAAGAAAATATAGTTAATAAAGGGCTTTTCACAGGTAATTGAACTTGATCCTCACAGCAATTTGTGATGTAGATGGACAGTTGATATTATTCCTGTTTTAAATACTAAAACCCTTGGGCTCAGAGATGGCAAGCTGTTTGCCCAAGATAAGTAGCTGAGCCAAGATTTGAATCCTTTGCTTTCTATTTAAAGGAAATGAAATTTCAGGAGTCATTCTGGCTTGGTTTTGGTCAATGGCTAGATCACATTTTATTTTGATGGCATTTATCAGACCCTACTTGGTTATGTATGTTATATATGTAAATACGATTAAATCTGACATGGAAACAATATTAGACACTTCTGTTCTAAGGTTCCCAGTTCTAAAGTTATAGGAAATTGTGCTTTCTGTTTAGGAAAATAAAAATATATTTTGGAATAACTGACAGATATGCCAGAAGCTTAGGTGTGGCACTTAGGGTCTCATAAAGTCTTTGACATTGATTTGTCTCTATTTTAATTCTCTTTTTGGTTTTCTTCCCACAGCTTCTCGATCCTCCTGAGTGTGGTAATGGCTTCATTGAAACTGGAGAGGAGTGTGACTGCGGGACCCCGGCAGTAAGTCTCTGGGTGTTTTGATGACTTCGTTTAGGTTATTCAGGGTCATTCCAGGCCCATACACTGAGATAGACATACAGAGCAGGGGTGATGCCTGGAAGTTTTATAAGATTTGTGGAAGGAAGATTATTATTATGAGGTTGTTCATTTATTTTAGAAAATATCCTGGCACTTTAAGGAAAATTACCCCATTTCTGACATTATGCAAATGATTATATTCCTTAGGAATGTGTCCTCGAAGGAGCAGAGTGTTGTAAGAAATGCACCTTGACTCAAGACTCTCAGTGCAGTGATGGTCTTTGTTGTAAAAAGTGCAAGGTAAGTAAATGTTGTTTCATAACCAACTGATGAAAAAGAGGACATATTTGATTACACTGTTAAGGTGAGGTTAATATAATCTATTAACAGTAGTATCTAACACATATTAAGTGACTAAGTGCCAAATGCTTTACAGCAGGGGTCCTCAAACTATGGCCACATGCAAATACAAATATTGCATTTGTTCCTGTTTTGTTTTTTTACTTCAAAATAAGATATGTGCAGTGTGCATAGGAATTTGTTCACAGTTTTTTTTTAAACTATAGTCCGGCCCTCCAACGGTCTGAGGGACAGTGAACTGGCCCCCTGATTAAAAAGTTTGAGGACCCCTGATTTACAGGATCCTCACAAAATCTTGTGAGGTGTAGTAACTATTTTTATTCCCATTTATCAGATGAGAACACTGAGGCTTATGTGGTTAAATAGTTTGCCCAGGGCTTAAACCAAGTAAGTCAGGGAGCTAGGGCCTGCACCTTTATAATTCCCAGAGTTTGTCCTCTCACTACTACTGCCTCCCTGAGGACTATGCACATTAAATGAAAATGGGTGTTAAATCTTTGAATGCTGTTTTCCCTTTCTTGTAAACCCAAGTGGATATTCAGTAGACCTTTCTTTTCTCACTGCTCAGTTTGGTACATACATCTCTTGCATTAGCTGTTGAAGGAGCAAAAGGAATACTTTAGACATGATAACACCTTACATGTGTTGTGCAAGAGATTTTAAAATGCACCTTGAAACACATTGACTGTTTTCACCAGGGGTCCTCAAACTTTTTAAACAGGGGGCCAGTTCACTGTCCCTCAGACTGTTGGAGGGCCGGACTATAGTTTTAAAAAAAACTATGAACAAATTCCTATGCACACTGCACATATCTTATTTTGAAGTAAAAAAACAAAACGGGAACAAATACAATATTTGTATTTGCATGTGGCCCGCGGGCTGTAGTTTGAGGACCCCTGGTTTTCACCCTCCCACCAGCATCTTCATAGCTATCTCCAAATATTTAAGCCTTTCCATCAAGACTAACAGTTATTTGAGGCTTACCTTTTCCAAAGAAATCTACTGTTTTTTTTCCTCTTCTCATAGAAAGTCTGGTACAATATTCTACATTATTTCTGAGGTTGAATATGTCTTTCATTCTGTACATTTCATTCTGTACACTTACTAGTCCCACACTTACACCCAGGGACTTACACAATAATTGGTACAGGTTCTTAGTAAACATTAGTTGAATGAATGAATAAATACGCTCATCAGATACTTACTGATTATTTGCTGATTAGTCTACTTAGAGTTAAGAGAGGGTGGAATATGAACCAGTTATCTACTGAGTGCCGGAGATAGTGCTAAGGACTTTTAATGTATATCATCTTATATCTGGATTCTCAATGCTGGCACTATTGAAATTTTTGGCTGGACAATTTTTTGTTGTGAGGGTGAGTCTTGTTTATTGTAGAATATTTAGCAGCTTCCCTGACTTCTGCTTACCAGATGCAAGCACAATCCCTCCCAGTGGTGACAACCAAAATATCCCCAGAGATTGCCATCCCCACTCTCACCCCTACCCTGGGCTCCTGAAGGGGCCAAAGCAAGATAGTGAATGGAGGAGGGGACATAGAAGAACAAGATGAGAAATTGAGTGTATTTCTATTTTTTCTACATGTGTTTATAATAATGTGTATATAAGTCAGAGTTGGCAGGCACTTTCTATAAAGGGCCAGAATGTAGGCTTTGTTGGGCATAGCTATCAATGTCAATTACTTCTGCCTTTGAAAGCAGCCATCAAAAATACAGAAACCCATGGGCATGGCTGTGTTCCAATAAAACTTTATTTAGAAAAACAAATGGCCAAGTGCCTATCAGTAGATGAGTGAATAAAAAAGCTGTGGTACATTTGGTCCATGGAATACTATGCAGCTGTATAAAAGAAGGATTTCTTACCCTTTGAGACAGCATGGATGGACCTGGAAATTATTATGCTAAGTTAAATAAGCCACACAAAGGAAAACAAATGCCATCTCACTTTATCTGGAATCTAATGAACAAAATAAACTGATGAACAAAATAGACCCAGAGGCATAGATACATGGAACAGACTGACAGATCTTAGAGGGAAGGAGGGTGGAGAGGAGGGGAAGAGATTAACCAAAGAATATGTATGTATGCATAGCCTGAAACAGACAATAGGCTTAGGGTGAGGTGGGAACGTGGTGATAGGGGGGGAGGTTAGGGGAGGGGAATGAGGGACATCTGTAATATTGTCAGCAATGAAAAATAAATAAAAACAAGCCAAAGGAAAAACACCCACATGTGCCCAACCAGGTGTTGCCCTCGAGCCATCACTTGTGGACCTCTGCTGTAAAATACTGCTTATGTATTATTTTTCTTCTCAGTGTGAAACTTCTAGGAGGGCAGGGATTTGGGATGATACATTTACCTCTGTACCCCAGCATTTAGCACAGGTCCTCCTTAACTGTGCTTTCTCTCAGAAATCTCTGGTAGTCCTTGAACATTTCCACTCTCATATAAACTCTACCTTAAATCTGCTCATATGTCTACCCCAGATGTTTTAAAACTGTGGTGTGCCCCAATTCCAAGGAGGAAGAGAGCCAGAATATATGAGATGAAATTATTCTGCTTATTTCCTTGTTTGTATAGCCTATTTTGCCCCATTAAAACAGTTTCTTGCAAGCAGGATTCTTGTGTTTTGTTCTCCATTAGGTTCCCAGTGCCTGGCACATTTAAGTGGCTAGTAAATACTTGAATGAATGAATGAATGAATGAATGAATGAACAAACAAACACAATTTTTGTTTGGATCTTCTAAAAAGTATCTGTTGAAATGCTGATTGGAGTTGGCAATGTGCTGTTCATGTTCTACAAACAACAGGAAACTGAATTGTCTGGAGGGTTGTGAGCAGGGGAGGAAGATGAAAGGTGTGTGTGTGTGTGTGTGTGTGTGTGTGTGTGCTTGAAGAATAATGTGTGTCTTTCTGTGAGCAGAGATCAAAGCAGAGAAAGATCCAGCCCCAAATATTAACATTTTGGAGAAGGAAAGTAAGTGGGATTGAAGAGCAAAGGGGAAAGATGAAAATGCTATGTATCTCTGTTTTGTTATAATGAATAGTCTTGCAATTTATAAATCCGATGAGCTTAAAAATATATTGGTACTAGTCCCACACTTACAAGAAATATTTGAGGTGGTTGAAAACAGACAAAACAAAACAAAACAAAAAACCCTCCCATACATGGGTACAAATCATAGGAACATTAGAAAAGAATAAAAGACCAAGCTATAAATCCATTTAAAAATGAGGAGGGAAAGAAGGGAAAGGAGAGCACGGGAAGAAATAGCTTTGCCAGAAAATCGAACTTTTGCAATTTAGCCCAAAATGTAACTTCCAAATTCTTGGCAGAAAAGGTAAAAGAAAAAGTAATGTGATAAACGTGCCAGTAAGAATGAAGGGGGAAGTGTAAATCCAAAAGCCATTTGGAAGGAAGAATTCCTAGAACTTGACTGACTCCTCCGTCTCAAAGGATGCATCATCAAGCACGGTCCTGTTTTACCAAGATATTCAGGGATTGTGTGTGATGACTGTGCAAATTACTGCATACACAAGAAACTCTCTCCGAAAAGTACCAGATTAACATTTCATTCAGTAGCTGTTTTTCCCAGACGACCGTGTTGAAAGAGTTTAAGATATTCCTATCCCCCAAATCTTCATTTTGCTTTTTTAAAGATGATACTCTGAGAAATTTTTCTTCAGCAGTTTTACACATTGGTTTTTGTTCATTTTAGTTTCAGCCTATGGGGACTGTGTGCCGAGAAGCAGTAAATGATTGTGATATTCGTGAATCATGCTCAGGAAACTCAAGCCAGGTAATTTACAGAATAATCACTCTACACCAGATGGGAAAAAGTAGGCGTATTTTCAGTGCACTGACCCCCAGATGACATGGAAATGGACAAGATGCTCGTGTCTCTCTCTCATATAAATTCTTACTCTCCTTTTATTTATTTTTCAGGAATTTAAATTTCAGTCTTCAAAGCTTGAGCAGATGTTCAGCATAATTTTGTCTTCACATTGAACAAAGCCAAGATTGCTTGCATGCCTTTTTTTGTTTTAAGTAGAGAGTAAAATTCATTGGCTTTTTATCTATTTAGTGAAGGAGGAAATAACTATTTTTTTTGTTGTTTTAAGTGGAGAATAAAATTCATTAGCTTTTTGTCTAGTGAAGGAGGAAACAACCAGACTCTCTTCAGCTCTTTGAAACAGAAGTCAGCTAAGGCGAGAGACCCACAGAGCACTGGGTTCTGAAGGAGCCTGTTTCTCTGTCTTGACTCTTGTTTTTCCCAGACAGTTTGCATGACCTCAGTCACTAACAGCTGCTCTTGAATTTCATATTATTTAGTTGTAAATAGAGAAGATACGGAAGTTGATCAACTTTGGCTAGGGTCCCAGGTTTCGCAGGGTCAGTGTATGTACAGATAATGGAGGGTCATGAAAATAACCCTGAGGGCCAGAACCATGCAAAGTCATCTTAGTAGTCAATGGAAGAAACTACAGTAGTTCTGTGATCTTTTTAAAAAATATATATTTTATTGATTTTTTACAGAGAGGAAGGGAGAGGGATAGAGAGTTAGAAACATCGATCAGCTGCCTCCTGCACACTCCCTACTGGGTGTGTGCCTGCAACCAAGGTACATGCCCTTAACCGGAATCAAACCTGGGACCCTTGAGTCCCCAGGCTGACGCTCTATCCACTGAGCCAAGCCGGTTAGGGCTGTTCTGTGATCTTTTAAAAAGGTTGTCAGACTCTTCAAAACTCTCTCACTGTTGATTTTAAATGAAGATGGAAATGAAAAGTAACTCATTTATTTAGCACACTAAATTAAAACAGAAACATTAAGAATTAAAGTATCTTGTTTCTTTTTTTAAAAATGTTTTTTTTATTGATTTCAGAGAGGAAGGGAGAGAGAGTGAGATAATTAGAAACATCAATGATGAACGAGGAACATCGATTGGCTGCCTCCTGCACACCCCCTACTGGGGATTGAGGCCGCAATCAGGCATGTGCCCTGACTGGGAATTGAACCGTGACCTCTTGTTTCATAGGTCAATGCTCAACCACTGTGCAACACTGGCCAGGCAGTATTTTATTTCTTTGTAAAAAACTTACCAGGAGTAATGCCACCTTCTTGTAAACCTTAGGAACACCTTTTCCATACTCCTTTTTAAGTTTAAATCAGCTTTCAACATTTCATCCTTTGAACTTTCAATGTCGTGAACTGTCTCCAAGAGATGTCAATGTGAAGTTTTTTTGCCAAATAGCACTATCAACATTACCATAGTCAGTGATTTTTTTCTATAACAACATTTACATTTGATTAGAATTTCACTTCATGTCTTCACTTTTCTTTTTCTTTTTTTTTTTGCTGCACTTTTGTCTTTGTTGGTTAGTTTCCTCTTTTGATTATCCAATTTTGTAAAATGTCACATGCTATCTCCCAAAGACAGAGCAGCAATACAACTACACACCTGGTTGTCTGTGCATGCACTAAATATACAGATGGCAAGTGACCAGTCACTGAGAGGCTTTGAAAGAGTGACAAGTTAGGTCATTCACCTGTTGTTTACCTAGTGATCACTCAACTGAAGAGCTAGTAGTAAAAGCTTGTGCTTTTTGCAATTACTCACAGTTAATATATTATGGTAACTGATATTGGAACTGTGTTGTTGGGGTACTAGTCTTCTTCAACAATCCCGTGATACCTGAAATTCATGCACATTGGAGCCATGTGAAGCTAGGACTGCCTGTGTATTTTTTCCTCTAGAAAAGAGGGATTCAGTGGTTGAAAATTTACTTCCCGCTCACATGACCCTTGTTCATGGTTCTTCCTCTTCTTTGTTTTTATGTGGTATATCTACCTTAACCATTAAAAATGCTTTATTTTAAAGGTGGTCATCCTAAAAGACTAAAGTTTTTTCATGTAAAAGCATTTTCCTTTCTTATTTAATTAGCATTGCGTTTCTAAGCTAACAGTGGTAATGAGGGTACAATGAAATGGTGGATGTGCAAAGATGTTCTTGCTGCATTAGTTGTAACAGCATAAATTGGAGACATAGCAGGTCCTGGAATAACAGTGTTTTGTTCAAAGCCATTTTATTATATAACATTGATGAGATGCTGTAGGAACGTAAACTCTTATTTATTTCAGTTAGCCTATGGTAAAATTGGTTTCATTTTACATAATTTCTCTTTAAATCACAGAGCCTATTGAGCCTATTAGTACATTGGCTATATGATGTTAGCTCAATGCAATGTATTATAGTTATTAAAAATGATACCTACAAAAAGTTTATTATGATGAGGCAATTCATAAGTAAAGGAAAGAAGCAGAATATAAAATATTATCTATACTTTGACTATACCTATGTTTAAAAAATATCAAAACTTGTAGAAAAAGGTAGAGAAAAAATGTAACAAAATGTAAAACATAGCTGCCTTTGAGGGGTGGGGATTTGAGTAACTTTTGTCTTTTATTTTAATTTTGCATTTTTACATTATGTAAACTTTTCTCAAATGAGTTTATAATTACTATAATGATAGAAAAAATGTATCATAAATTTAAAAACTCCATAAGAATGCTTTGAAATCTTCTGTACTTACTGCAAGGTATAAAGGGGGCGTGCCATAAAGCATGTGTTTTTCTAACATGTGCAAAGTGGAGGTCTGCCTGAGAGTCATTTTGAGTGTAAGGGCTGTGTTGCTTCTCACAAAAATGAAGACATAGAGTTATTGCTCCATCCATGCTGGCATCCTCCTTGCTTTTGTTTTATGCTCTTGTTTTTCTTGCTTTGAGGAATAGTGTATCTGTATAGAGCAAGATGCTCTTAAATTTTAGCATTAGCTGAGTCCTTGCTGTCATTTCTTTCTGTTTGCTGCCATGCCGTCCATTGTGTTTGCCGCTGATAGATCAGTACTTTTAGGGGAAAGTGAACCAGTTGTTGTATTTCCTTTTGCTTCCTCTTCTTTGTTTTTATTTTCAGATATTTTAAGACACTAAACATATTTTCCTACTTTATTTTTAAAGTGAAAGCATTAAAGGGATTAGCTCATCCCGATATTTTGTTGCACATTTGGTTCATAGTTCTGTTCTCTTTCCCAGTGTGCCCCAAATATTCATAAAATGGATGGATATTCATGTGATGGTGTTCAGGTAGGTTAGTTCATTTTTACCTAATTTTTTTGTGTGTGTGTGTACCAGCATGAAAGAAATACTGAAATGTTATCACAATAGGAACATTAATTTAAATGTTTCATAATAAATTCTGAAGATAAAAAGCCTTTATAATACTCTTTGACTAGTTCTCCTGGTTATACTTACCTTTTCAGTTACCTGACATCAGCAGACATTGCATGACTCATAGATATGCTTTTCCATTTTAGGGGATTTGCTTTGGAGGAAGATGCAAAACCAGGGATAGACAATGCAAATACATCTGGGGGCAAAGTAAGTAAACAGTGTGGCCCAGTCATTTCAAGGTGTGCTATCAGGCCAAGGGTCATGTGAGCAGGAAGTAAATTTTCAACCACTTTAAGAGTGAGGGATTCTTCAAACCACCACACGTCTTAGCAGGGGCACTTTTATGGAAATTAGAGAAGGGCACTTCTGAGAAGACACAGCCCTACACATCTTGGGTAGTTGGCAGTGCCTCTGGATGAGACAGATGGTGTCTTCACTGCCAGGCAGGTGAAGTCCTTGCCAGGTGTGCAGCTTGGAGAACGGAACAAACGTGGATTTTAGCTCCACATATGCTCTCCACAGCTGAGTGTCCTTAAGCAAAACCTGTACAACCATATGGGATGGACGTGGACCCTGGCTAGGGAGCTGTAGCCTTGGAACTGTAGCATTTTCGCTAGACTTGTTTTTTCTCCCTCAACTATCTTTCTTGACCTCTAGCTGGCTTTTCTACTTATTGGTGACCTGCTGGAGTGGCTCTGCTGTATCAGAGAGAAATTTTAATGTTATTCCCTTTAAAGTTTGTCAAATTTTCATAGGGAATTATATATCAATTATATCTAGAACATATTATTGAAATTATATATTTATATTTAAAATATATTTAAATGTATTTTTTCCAGAACTATTATCTGCCCCTTTGAAAGTAGTTTTTTGTTTTAGAGTAGTGGTTCTCAACCTTCTGGCCCTTTAAATACAGTTCCTCATGTTGTGACCCAACCATAAAATTATTTTCGTTGCTACTTCATAACTGTAATGTTGCTACTGTTATGAATCGTAATGTAAATATCTGATATGCAGGATGGTCTTAGGCGACCCCTGTGAAAGGGTCGTTCGAACACCAAAGGGGTCGCGACCCACAGGTTGAGAACCGCTACTCTAGGGTGTCACAGCGGACTTGAGTGTAGTCTTCTGCTTCTCAGGGAAGGTCATCTGGAGTTCAGGCCCAGCTCCCTTTGTGAGCCAATGATCACAGGAAGGAAGCAGCTGTGTTAATGTTGCTACTCTTATGAATTGTAATGTAAATATCTGATATGCAGGATGGTCTTAGGCGACCCCTGTGAAAGGGTCGTTCGACCCCCAAAGGGGTAGCGACCCACAGGTTGAGAACCGCTGTTTTAGAGTCTTTCAAAAGACAATTATCATGAAAGATAATGACAACCCTTAGTTGTCACAAACTGGCTACAATCCCTTTGGGAGAGGAAGTGTGTGCTCTCTTTGGAGTAATTAGAGAAACATTGGGATGGGGGAAAATTTAATCATACAGGTTTGAACTCTGAACAAAGAGAGTTTTGTTTCCTCCTCTTGAGAATAACCAGTAGCTGACAGCATAACGTAGAAAAAGAAAGTTGTTGTATCTATCACTGATAGAAAATCCTGTTCTGCTTCAGAGGTGATGGCATCAGACAAATACTGCTATGAGAAACTGAACATTGAAGGGACCGAGAAGGGCAACTGTGGGAGAGACAAAGACACATGGATACAGTGCAACAAACGGTGAGGTGGACAAGTCAGCCCCAAGTTTATCCCTTAGTTAATGACAAACATTATTTTCTAAGCCAGCAGGACTTTTCTGTTTTCTGCATCACATGAAGCAGTGTGCTGCCTTCCATCTCTTCCCACTGTTCCAGCCTCATCTTTGCAGAAGGCTCCCACATCTTAACATGTATGCTCACCTCTCTCCTAAGGCCTAGGTCATGCCTGTAGCTGCCTCAGGACTTTCTCACCTAGAAGATATCTGCCAGCATCTCAAAAGCAAAAAATAAAATAAAATAAAGCCACCAGAATACATACTCACTTAACTGGTTCTGATTTTCCAAAGGTCTTAATATCTCACTGTCCTTCTGATTAGAAGCCTAGAATGATCCTGGACTCCACCTTTCCCTCTGGCACATTGTCCAAATGCAAGTTATGTCCATTCCTCCCTTTTACTCCCCCACCATTTGTCTTTAACTCATCCTTTCATTTCTATTCCTGTAGCATTAAGGACCCCACTAAGACCTACACTAACTCTTCAGCTATTACAAAGGCCTCTAAACAGGTTTTTTTAATGCCTGCAGTCTCTAACAGGCTGCCCTCAGGATACTCTACTGACTCTTTTTGACCATGTCAACTCTTTGTTCAAATTTCACTGGTTCCACATAGCTAATTACTCATAAGAATAATATCCAACATGGATTGAATGCACACTGTGTACTACACATTATATTATTCTTTACATGAGCTATGTCATTTGGTCTTTATGTCAGTTCTGATTTTATGGAAGAGGAAACTGAGGCATAGTTTACTAATTTGACCAAGATCATATAATGAAGATGTAATAGCAGCAGAATTGGAATTCGGGCAGTCTGATTTCAGAACTCTATTTTAACTACTTCGTAGAATGTCATACTATTTTGTTTAATGAGCACAATGGAAACTTAGCTTGGCATTGTACCTCCTCCACAATTTGCCCCCAAACCTCCATTTTTTTGTGTTTTCTTCTCCACTCTTCCAAAGTCTACCATGCCTTTCATCCCTAATATGTGCACTGTTTTGTGCTAACTCTGTGCCTGTGCTTGTGCTATTCATTCTTCTGGAAGCACTCTTTATACCCACTTCATGACGAGGCAAAAATTTATCCATTCTTCAGAGATCTGCTGGGACAATACTTTCTCTATAAATTATTTCTGGATTTCAACTAGAAATAAATAATTTCCTTTTCTCCTCAGAATTCCCACAGCCCTTTGTACTGTTCTTGCGGCCCTTGTCCCTAACTCTATGCTCTATAGTTGTTTGTGTATGTGATTTCTTTTTTCATCCAGCGTCTAATTTCCTTGAGGATAAAAATCATGTCTAATTTTCTTTATATATCCTAAAGTACTTCGTAAGCTAAAAGGACACAGAAAGGACACTAAAAAATGTTGACTGTATTTTTCTATGTTAAGAAGCATTTTTATTTATGACAGGCATTTTAAAAGTGATGATATAATGTTTAAACATTATTTTTTAGAAATGAATTAATACATTTTTTCCTGTGTTGGTGATAGATACAAGTCCTAAGTTTTCCCTTTTCTTTGCCTGATAAAGCCTAATATTTTCATATGTGCTCTTAAAGGCCTACTAATCAGTCTTCACAAGATACTGATTAGAATATGGTTTATCATTATCTACATTAATAATTAAAATGTGTTAGATACAGAGATCATGTAAGATAGTATTTAATACCAATGAAAATATTTTACAAGTTAAATTAGAATTGTATGTGATATTGGAAAAGTAGAGAAATACATTGAGCCTATGTTGTCCAGAATCTATAAAGTGTATGTGTGAGTGTGTGTGTTTGTGTGTGCATGCACACGTATGTAATTTCTTTTTTAATTATGGGGCAACAAGTTGAGGAAAGAGCTGTATTCCAAAAGAATAATCATCCAAAGGTCATTCATTCACCTATTAAATATTAAAAAACATGTTTTAGCACATCCAGTGACATGTTATAGGGAGAGAGAGTCATATATAAAAGAAGTCTTTTTGATGGGTGATTTCCTTTCTATTAATATTTGAACTAGTGGGCATTAAAGAAAAAGCTAGAGAGTAGTTGAGATTTTGGTGCACCAATAAGAGTTTCAGATTTTTCTAAATCAGAGGGGACATGTTTTAATTCTGGAATAAACTAATTTGGGCTTATTTTATTTTTCTTGTAACATAAACAAATAGTATAGTTGATGAAAACCAAATGCTAAAATGAGATAAGATTATTGTTCTCACTGCACATGGTTGTGAAGTAAATACTTGGTATTTTTTTAACACAGGGATGTGCTCTGTGGCTACCTTTTGTGTACCAATATTGGCAATATCCCACGGCTTGGAGAACTCGATGGTGAAATCACATCTACTTTAGTTGTGCAGCAGGGAAGAACATTAAACTGCAGGTAAATATCGCTGATCATTCCATGAGAACATTAGTCATCTCCTGAGAATGCAGTTCAGGATTAATTCTGTTTTCAGTTCATATGCATGTTAAGCCAAAAAAGAATCTCACCCATAGAGATGACTGAGTAAATCCGGACAGAAAATTGACAAAAACAAGGTAAGAATTAGGGTTTAATTTGCATTTTATTCTTATGAAGGAAAAAAATGTGAATTTTGGGGTAAAATCATATGTATGTTCTTTAGCTCTCTTCTGAGATTCCACTAAAATGACACTCAATGATTTTTTTAAAAATTCATATATTCACAGGGAGGCAGAGAAAGGGAGAGGTGATGATAGCAACAACATCTTGGAATGTGGAAAGCAAATGGATGTGTGACAAATGAGTATCAAAATTAAGAAAGCTAATTGGAGAACTAAGCCAATATATATTGTCAAAAAACTAAAAAAAAAAAAAATGGGCAACGCCATTTACTATGGAAGAGGGAATAAAGGATTAAGGGACAGGGAAGGGCTAAAATACAATTTATTAAAGAAGCACTAAAAGATTACTTCCCTGACTCAGGTACAGTGGGTATTGCTCATCCCCACAGGGAAGATATGAGCTTTATATCCTGAGGTAGTAAAATAGAAGGTGTCTAGATTGAAGAACAACAGGCAATATTGATATCACGGTTGTATGAAGTGGTCCAGTTTCACTGATGTTCAGTCAGAAAGCCCTGAAGTTTCCAAACATCTGTCTATTCCCACACCTCAAATATGAGCAGATTATCAGCTATGTGAAGAAAGTCTCTAACATGAAAAAAAAGAAAGAGATAAAAATAACCAACTAGAAAAACAACCACCTATCAATTTTTAGGAGTGATAAGGTACCTCTATCATGAAACAAGAGTAGAGTGTTGTTTTTCAAAATGAAGACCATTCAGAGAAGGAAAACATACTATTGGAAATTAAAAATATGATGGCTGAGATTAAACTCAGTAGTTGAAATTATTTTCCAGAAAATAGGGCAAAACAGGGAAAGAAATTAACATAGAGAAGAGCTCATCAAATTAGAATAGAAATAATAAAGAAATAATAGAGAAAACAGCAGGGAGAAAATTGTCAATGAGTAACTCAAGAGTATTGTCTAGAACTGATGAACTTGAATTTCTTTATTGATGGACTCACCAAGTGCCAGGTACAATGAGTGAAATTAGAGGTACATTTAAACATATCATCATGAAATTTCAGAACCTTAGGACAAAAAAAATTTTTTTCAATGTTTCCAGAGAGGCGGGGGAAAAAAAAGATCAGACATTAGGATCTATAATTAGGAGCCCTGGGAGCCAGAAGACAATGGAGAATATGTCTTCCAAACTAGAGTTTTGTACCCAGACAAAATATCAATCAAGGGTGAGGATAGAAAATGACTCTTTTAGATATGCAAGTTCCCCCCAAATTTACTCCCTTAAACCTTTTCTCAGGAAGCTACTGGAAATTGTACTGCACCAAAATGAAGGAGTTAGCTAAGAAAGAGAAAGGCAGGGAATTTAGGAATCAAGATCCCCACCTTGAGGGATACCCTCCAGTGAATGGTGACGGGAAATCCAAGATGCGCAGCTGTGCACCAGGTGCAGAGGACAGCCCGATCAGATGGACGCAGAGGAAGTCCAGATGGGAACTCCAGGAGAGAGTCCTCAGGAAGATGAAGTGATGTTTAGATGCATCTTGCATGGAGATTTTGACATTTAAAGAACTAAGTTATCTATTTGACTCTTTAAACTCTATGCATCTATAGTTTTCATAAAAACAAATAAAAATAATGGAGCTATTGACATGGTACCATATGGATAAATTGATTATAAACATACATTTTCAATATCTATTATTTTTTTAATTCCTACATTATATGCAGGCTTGCTATATTGAATAGTGAAGGTACAATAGTTAAGCCATTCTCAAATGTAATTTGTAAATATAGCAATCGTTTTGGGAAATGTAAACTAAAATCAATTCTTATTTTGTTCAAAACATGTTTGAAATCTTAAAACTACGTACTTATCAAATCAAATACTAGTAATAATGGCTTATTTGACTTGTACATGATATCCCAGGCCAAATGATAAAGCTATTTAAATTCAAGCATTGTTGTAATAATTATATTGAAATCCTAAAATATGTTAGTATCCCTGAATAGAGTTAGATCAAAAGATTAAATTGCTTTCTCCATTTACCAGAAAAACTCTTATGTTACCATTTTTATTAGATAATAAATAGAAAATAGAGGGCATGATATTGCCTGCTTTTTAGTGTTTATGCATATTCTCAAAATGAATGTGAATGAATGGAATCCCATTTTCTTCTCTCCATTTATTTTCAGTGGTGGGCATGTTAAGCTTGAAGAAGATGTAGATCTTGGCTATGTGGAAGATGGGACACCTTGTGGTCCCCGAATGATGTGCTTAGAACACAGGTGTCTCCCTGTGGCCTCCTTCAACTTCAGTACTTGCTTAAGCAATAAAGAAGGCATTGTTTGTTCAGGAAATGGAGTGAGTATTCAGTACCTCACCATGGGGAATTACTCATTTCTTTTGTATCAGAAATAGATACGACCCTAAACTGCTTATTTCTGTAATAATGCAAACCATGCTTGTCCATATTTCTAAGCAGGTATGTAAACAGTTATTTGTCATAGTCATTTGAATATTTCTGTCATGTCATCTGCAAAAGCCTGGGAATAAGAAACAGTATAACTTCCTAACCAAATGCTTGCCTCTTCCTTTCTCATTATATTAGTGGGATCTCATTTACTATAATACCAGTTGTCTGCAAGTGATCTAAGAGACAAATTCCAACAAACTATAGTGGGATTAAAAAGGAGTAAAACGCAGGGCAGTGGCCACAATATTTAACAACTGGTGTGGCCCAGGCACTGGCTGATTAAGACAGACCATAAGTAACCATAGCCACACCAGTGTGCATCAGCTGAGGAGAATGCCTAAACATAAAAACAGAATTTAGGAAAACGTTTCTCACAGACATGTAGAAAGAGTGGCCTTGTTTAAAAGACTAAATTCTGTTCTTTCAGTCATATATCTGTTCATCTACAGAAATGTTTATAGGTGAAAGAAACATGCTCTATTAGTGATTACATTTTGTCATTTTCAGTCAGGAATTCCTATACTCATGAAACCTTTTCTAGTTCTTTTTCTTTCGGCATATGCTGTGATTCCCTTCTTACCCTCATTCCAGACTCACTGCTTGAACTGGTGTATTAGCTGGTTGAGGGAAAGGAGCTCTGTCCTGGAGTTGTAAGCCTGCAGTCCTGGTCATTCCATGCATGTCCCCAGGGATATGCCAAGAATTTCCTTAGGGAGCCCTTACTCTTTTCCAATGGATAGGAATTCTTATTGCACAGGAGACTAGAGAAGGCTTAGATTAAGTAGTTCTGTTTTTTTAAAGGGCTCTGTTAAGTCTTCTTTCCTTAATAAGATGGTGCTAGGGGGAAATACATTTTGGGTGGACAGTCGAAAAGAATAAAGACATTGTTCTTGGTCATTCATGCTAATGAATCACCATACCTTATTCACCTAGACCCGTGGTCGGCAAACTGCGGCTCGCAAGCCACATGCGGCTCTTTGGCCCCTTGAGTGTGGCTCTTCCACAAAATACCACGTGCGGGTGCGCACATACAGTGCCATTGAAACTTCGTGGCCCATGCGCAGGAGTCGGTATTTTGTGGAAGAGCCACACTCAAGGGGCCAAAGGTATTTTGTAGAAGAGCCACACTCAAGGGGCCAAAGAGCCACATGTGGCTCGTGAGCCACGGTTTGCTGAGCTGCAGTTTGCCGACCACTGACCTAGACTTTTAGTACCACCAGACTTAGAACTGCATCAGTCATGATATAAATTTTAATCTTGCAAGATAACTACCATCTCTCTCTCAAAACGAGATCGAGTTCCAGTGGTCAGCAAACTGCAGCTCTCGAGCCACATGTGGCTCTTTGGCCCCTTGAGTGTGGCTCTTCTACAAAATACCACATGCGGGCGCACACGTACCGTGCGATTGAAACTTTGTGGCCCATGCTCAGAAGTCGGTATTTTGTGGAAGAGCCACACTCAAGGGACCAAAGAGCTGCATGTGGCTCACGAGCCGCAGTTTGCCGACCACTGGGTTAGCCAATGATATAAAAGCTTTGTTTTGTTTTGTTTTGTCTTACAAGACAAAGGCAAGCTTTCCTAAGCTTGAATTTATAGTTATTAAAAAAAGAAAATGGGGGGGGGTAGCAGGAAATAAGACACAAGGTAAAATAATCTGGGCAGTAAAAAACTTATTTTAAACCAGAAAAAATAAAAGACAGTGATGAAATGGGGAATCAAACTCAGGCTTTCTGACTCTACACCTAAACCTTTTTCTTCTTGCATATTTGTTAATCTGTAGAAATTTATTTGAGATCTGTAATTTGCTAATCATATTTTTTTTGTATTCACCTGATTTTCAGACAGAGTGGAAGGGAGAAAGAAAGGGGGGAGGGAGAGAGAGAGAGAAATATCAACATGAGAGAGACACATTGATTGGTTGCCTTCCTCACAAGCCTGGACCAGGGCTGGGGATCAAACCCACAACCCTTTGGTCTGCAGGCTGACACTCTAACCACTGAACAAAACTGGCCAGGGCTGTTAATCATATTTTACAGTTACATTTAGATGTGGATGAATGTCATCCTCTGGAAAATTAGATCAGACAAAAGACAATTACCCAGTGAAAACCTACTGAAGAATTCTGATCTCAAACCCAGCTGAATTCTCCCCTACTTCCCACTCCATTTAAAATTGCTTTGAATTGTAAGATCTAGGTATAGGTTTGGTCTCCTGGATATATAAATGCAGACAGAATATTATCTGATAATTTTAAAAAATGTGGTGCCATTTTTATGTGAATTTCCCCCCTGTGCTTTGTTTGAGGGAGCTCTTCTTCTCCATGACCATGAGGTAGCTCATCTCTGTAGCTTGTGTTGAGGTGCCAAGGTTATGGCTTTGTACAGCTTTCTTCTCAGACCACTGCAAAGCATCAGGCTTCCCCTCTTCTTTGTCAGGTTTCTCTTGATCTTATCTGCTTCCTAAAAGATGAATAGTTTCATTATAAAGATTCTTTGGAAGAAAGAAACCTTTGTCTTGGATAATTAGACAATGATCTTATTTCTGCTTAGTTTTTAAAATCTCCCTTTTATAAAATTTAAGTTAATGAAATTCAAAACAAGAACTTCATTGATTTTTTTAGAGATATACATTTATTTCTCTGTTTACATTTATTATTCCCTGTGGGTCAACCGTTGATCTCTTGAAAATATTTTTTAGGTATATGGGTAAGAAATAAGTAATTGGCATTAGGAAGAAAGTACTGATCATTTTTCAGTCCCATAAAATTCTGGGCATATAGTAATTAGAAATTAATGCTTATTTTTCATGCCTCTGCACCCGAGAGCTGACTCTCCCTCTGGATTGATTTTGGGTTTCAGGTTTGCAGTAATGAGCTGAAGTGTGTGTGTAACAGGCACTGGACCGGTGCTGACTGCAGCACTTACTTCCCTCTCAACGATGAGGAAAAGACTGGTATAACTCTGTCTGGTAACGGTAGGTCCTGAACTTGGTACCATTATATAGCCTTTATACACAAGGAAGGAGAACACTGCCCTCCAGATAGTTTCATTTGGATTATTGTTATAACTCAAATATCAATTAAATCCAGACAATAATGAATTATAATATGTAGCTAGCTAGGCCCACATTGTGAAACTGATCATTTCCATTAACTTGTAATAATATGTCGTATTGAATTTAGCGTTTTTTTCTCTGACATCAGACTGAGATTTCTTTTTCAAGTTTTGTACAGTGCTTGTTTGGGGATGACAACAAACCTTAGCATGTTTTTTTATTAAGAAAGTAGTCATGTGCTCACTTTGGCAGCACATATACTAAAATTGGAACGATACAGAGAAGATTAGCATGGCCCCTGTGCAAGGATGACATGCAAATTCGTGAAGCGTTCCATATTAAAAAAAAAAAAAAAGAAAAGAAAAAAAGAAAGTAGTCATACTTAACTGTCTGAATTTAAAGGAAGAATTTTATATTTTGGGATTGAATCAATAAGAAAAGAAATAGAATTGATTTTTAAAATTTTTGTTGACTTTAAAAAATTTATCTTTATTGTTAAAGGTATTACAGATGTCCAAATTTTGGTTGACTTTAATATTTTTTTTTTATTATAGACTAGAGGTCCGGTGCACAAAAATTTGTGCACTGGGGGGGGGGGTCCCTCAGCCTGGCCTGTGCCTTCTCGCAGCAGTCTGGGACCCCTCGGGGGATGTCCACCTACTGGCTTAGGCCCACTCCCCGGGGGATTGGGCCTAAGCTGGCAGTCAGACATCCCTCTGGCAGCCCGGGAGCCCTCGGGGGATGATGCCAGCGGGGAGCAGACCCAAGCTGCAGTCAGACATCCTTAGCGCTGCTGAGGAGGCGGGAGAGGCTCCTGCCACCACTGCTGTGTTGGTAGCCATCAGCCTGGCTTGTGGCTGAGCAGAGCTCCCCTGTGGGAGTGCACTGAGCACCAGGGGGCAGCTTCTGCATTGAGTGTCTGCGCCCTGGTGGTCAGTGTGTATCATAGTGACCAGTCATTCCCAGTTGTTCTGCTGTTAGGGTCAATTTGCATATTACCCTTTTATTATATAGGATAGAGGCCTGGTGCATGTGTGGGGGCCAGCTGGTTTGCCCTGAAGGGTGATCCGGATCAGGGTGGGGGTCCCGCTGGGGTGCCTCGCCAGTCTGGGTGAGGGACTGAGGGCCATATTCAGACTGGCCACACCCCCTTCAGGGTGGGGGTCCCAGCTGGAGTGCCTGGCCAACCTGGGTGACGGGCTGAGGGCCTTTTGCAGGCTGGCCACAGCCCCTTCAGAGTGGGGGTCCCTTCCTCCTCTACAAAAAAGCTCCTCCTCTCGCTCTCTTCCTCCTCTCCAAAAATGCTCCTCCTCTCTCTTTCGTCCTTGGCTGGAATCAAACGTGTGACCCTCCAATCCGCAGGCCAACGCTCTATCCACTCAGCCAAACCAATCTGCACTCCTCTCCTCTCTTCTTTTTCCCTAGAAGAAGGAAAGGAGAAAGGCACAGGGGTTTTCAATCCGTACCAAAAGGAGAGATAAAGAACTCTACTTGGACACATACCATTCCAAGTAAGACTCCCAGAGGCTTGAAATAGTGTACAAGTTGGGGAATTATGATGTGTTCTAACCATAAACTGAAAGAAAGGATGGAAGGAGATGAGGTTGGACAATGGGGTCCCAGGTTGTCCTCACATGGAAGTCATTACAAAGCCTCTCTTTCCCACACTCCCTCTTCACTCTTTCTCCCTTTCACCAGGTTCACCTATTTGCTTTAAAATAACCCCTCAATTGAAAATTGAAAACAATTCAGGCCTTAGTCAGGATTTTCACCTTTATCCTGAGAACAATAGGAAACCATTTGGCAGACTTAATTAAATGAGTGGTCAGAGCAGGTTTTCTTTTTAAGTTTATTCTCGTTGCTGCATTGAGAATGGTCTGAGAAGGAATGGACAAGAAAGATTTGGACAGAGCAGTCAGGTGGTGATAGGTAAGAGAGATCATGTTAAACTATATAGGTAGGTACATTGTTATTAACTTAATTAGGGTACTCCTAAGCTGGCCTTTGCTAAAAACGTCCTCAATCTGATTGAGGTACGTTCGCTGAGGTCGACCCCTTCCAACTCTCCCATCCACACTCATCTTGTATACTTGTTTCGTATATCTCCTTTAGGAAAACCGACTTCTGCACATGGGCCACGAAGTTTCAATCGCACTGTACATGCGCGCCCGCATGTGGTATTTTGTGGAAGAGCCACACTCAAGGGGCCAAAGAGCCGCATGTGGCTCGCGAGCTGCAGTTTGCTGACCACGGCCCTAGACAGTTTGACTCAGTGGATAGAGTACTGGCCCAGGGACTGAAAAACAAAAAAAAAGGAGTTTGGTATCTGTAGTCTTAGCAGTGGTAGTCTGGAGCTTGTTCTAGCAGTTAATGCAGAGATGACGCTATTCAGGTCCATAGATTTAAGTTACTTGTTAAAAGTCACACTGTTACTTAGAAATAATCAGGGCAAGAATTGGAACATACACAATATTGATGCATATTGTTAAGTTATGCTTGATTTTTCTTCCCTTTAAAAAATACCTACTTTAAACATATCTTAAAATAATGTTGTTGGTATGAAGATTACAAATCTGGAGAATAAATTCCTGAAAGAATTTTATATCAAGCCCTGACCGGTTTGGCTCAGTGGATAGAGCGTCAGGCTGTGAACTGAAAGGCGGGATTGATCCGGGTTTGATTCTGGTCAAGGGCATGTACTTTGGTTGCAGGCTCGATCCCCAGTAAGGAACGTGCAGGAGGAAGATAATCGATGTTTCTAACTCTGTCCCTCTTGTTTCCTCTCTGTAAAAAATCAATAAAAATATATATTTTTTAAAAAATTTTCAATCACAGAGATTGATTTTCATTGTTCCCTTTTTCTCTCCAGGTGTTGCTGGTACCAATATCATAATAGGCATAATTGCTGGCACCATTTTAGTGTTGGCCCTCATATTAGGAATGACTGCATGGGGTTATAAGTAAGTGAAATATCTCATAGTAATATTTTTACTCTCAGCATATATTTTAAAACAGTTTGTTCAAGTGAATTAAACACCTAGAAAGTTTTTTGTCAGTAAAAATCAGTCTGGCTCACTATTCAATCAATGATTGTACTTGGCATGATTCGAGGTGACAATAATTTATCGTTGTTTTTAGAGTTTGAGATAACCCCCATCTGTTCTAAAAGTACTGAATACTGTCTTAAAACCATTATGCGAGCCCTGCTGGTGTGGGTCAGTGGTTGAACATTGACCTACGAACCAGGAGGTCGCTGTTCAATTTCCGGTCAGCTCACACGCCTGCGTTTTGGGCTCGATCCTCAGGGGAGGAGGCAGCCCATCAGTGATTGTCTATCATCATTGATGTTTCTATATCTCTCCCTCTCTGAAATCAGTGAAAAAAATATTTTTAAAAAACCCATTATGTGAAGTAAAATCAGTCTAAATTGTGTCTTACACAGAGGTTCTGTTGGCTTACTCTTTTAATGACACAGTTCTCTCTTGACTTAAACCATACCCAGAAGTCTAGGCAAGATTGTCAACTAGAGATCATAGAGCTTTAATAATAACAGTCATAGCAACAAGAGCAGCAGCCACAGATCTGGTCCTGAGTGCTTGCGATGGCCATGCCTGGGGCTGAGGGCAAAACCTTTTCATCTTCACAGCCAGTATAAAGGAGGCACTATTTGTTAAATATGTGGGTGTTTTTGCATGAATAAAAGACTGCTTAGAGATGTTTGTTAAAATTGAAATTCAACTTTAAGTTATAGCTTTTAAAAGCCTAATTCCTTCCTTATGCGTCAAAGTTCGCCTTACAGGTTTTTTTGGGTTCAATTTATAAATTTTTAAAAGTTATGCCATATAGTTTTTGAAAATCAGATCCCCTTAAGCATTTAGCTAAGTAAATGGCTTCAAATATTCCAAACATTTACATATTTAATATGTTCAATTTACTTAAGTACTTCAATCTTATGATGTGAAAACTGTCCTTAGTATTCAAGAATTTAATTCATTTTTAATAAATTAAAACGTAAACAAGGTAAACCTTAAGTTCTCTTTAATATTTCAACTTAAAGCTCATAGTTCTGCTGATTCTGATGATATTTCAGCTCCCAGCCCTAGAGTTTTTCCATTTGTGAGTCCTGTGACTTTTCCTAGGCACTCTGGGCATTACCTTACTTTATAGCATTTTCCCCCTCATAGACCAAACTTAGTTCACTGAAAGACTTGGGAATTAGAATACTTCAAACTTTAAAATTACTCCAAAGCTTTCAATAGACTACCCGTGGTCGGCAAACTGCAGCTCGCAAGCCACATGCAGCTCTTTGGCCCCTTGAGTGTGGCTCTTCCACAAAATACCACAAGCGGGCACACATGCAGTGCGATTGAAACTTCGTGGCCCATGCGCAGAAGTCGGTTTTCGGCCTGGGCGAGTCTATTTTGAAGAAGTACTGTTGATATTTGGCTCTGTTGACTAATGAGTTTGCCGACCACTGGCTAGGCAATATGTAATTGTTTGCTGTTATTATTATCACCTGGCATGATCTTAAACCAATGGAATCAAATGGAATACCTTTAAAAGCGTATGTGGCTGTTGCTTGTGGTGAGGTCAGAACCCTGAAAGAGTTTCTTTGATTGAAAAGAGAGTAGTTAGTTTGTATGCTGCAAGCATTAAAATACAGAAAGCCATTTGAGGAAGGCATTATGAACATATCACATACAGCATAGTACGTTTAGCATAGAAAGCAAGGATAGCACAAATAATACAGTGGGGCCTTGACTTACGAGTTTAATTCGTTCTGAGACCGAGCTCGTTAAGGAGCTCGTTAACTCAAATTACTCTATCAACTCAATGCAAAAAATCGGCCAAGAGACAGCTGGTATCTCAAAAAACTTGTTAGTCGGGACACTCGTAAGTCAAGGCCCCACTGTAGTAATGGTTTGCCCTGATTAAATGAATATCTCACTCTGTACCAGCTTATAGATGCTTAATACCTCTGGGCTTCTTTGATGTGCAGGTCATTAGGTATATTGTATACTTACACTTGCACAGGCTGATTTCAGCATAACATTTGGAGTAACAAAATTATAGTCCTAAAGGAAGGCTTTTCTGAATATTGTTTGATCTCCCCTCACACCTCAGGTGAATTAACTCCATCTTGGAGCTACACAATATCATTGACTTGCCTGATGCAAGACTTATGTAGTAATTGCCATCACAAGTGTGGTTTTGAAGTAGCTCAGTGGTTTCATTTTCATGTGAAAGGAGATAGCAAAATTGTTAGTTCTATATTGTGTGATTTTCTGCCACCTACTGATGCAAGTTGTTATTTCATTTGTAATACATTCTTAAGATTTTGTATTGATTTTAGAGAGAGAGAAACATTGATCAGTTGCCTCCCACACATGCCCCGACTAGAGATTGAACCCACAACCTGGGTAATGTGCCCTGACCAGAAATCAAACCTGCCACTTTTTGGTGTATGGGGTGATACTCCAATCAAGTGAGCCACACTAGCCAGGACAATATTTCATTTGTAGAATCTTGGAAAAAATAACCTTTCAGAAAATATGAAACCCTAAACATCTCCTATTGCTAATGAAATGACCTGTGCTCATTTATTTTAATGATTAGAATTAAAAGTACTTCTTTCTGTAAATCATTTCTTATTTTTATAAAAATTTTTGAAGTGTCATTGTTTTTATTTTTATTTCTAAATATATGTACTTTGCAGATTCATTAAGGAAAAAGACAATTTTTTTTTCTGTACTGCAGTATCGTCTTCATAAATAATTTGAACCTAAGAGATGAATGTTTTAATGTTATCAAACTTTTAAGGAATATGTTTAAAAATAGAATGAGAATGTAGAAAATGTTAATACAGAAATTAATTTTATTAATATGATGTTCCACATACTCTATTTCAAATTCAAAAACTGGATTTAGGACCTGAGAGCTCATTTATTTTCTCATTAATCCTTCCAATTAAACTTTCTACCCCTTATTCAAGCTTTAGAGTGAGTCAAGAAATAGCAGAATAGGAAATAAGAAACTAGGGGACCACTCAGGTAATCAGATTGAGAGAATAAAAAGTAAAATATGTTGAACAAAAAGATTCAGGGCTCATATTTCTCCGCCATCTAATGGTTTCAGGAATGAAAAATAATAAGTAACTAATTGGCACTTTTAACCTGATTAGCTCATCATCAAATGAGATACTTATTGGGCACACAGAATAGATCGGCAGGTAACGGTGCTCCAAACAAAATCCATGAGGAAACATTATCTTGATCTTGGAGGAAGGAGCCCACTGTTCAGTTGGTTTACTTTTCTAATTTGTCCTCAAAATATTAACACCTAATTAGGTCATGATAGAACATTATACATTAGCTTTTTTAAGTTAAAAGTTAAAAGTCACTGGTGCCTCAATACCACATCCCCTAGAACACATTTTTTTCAGATTGGTTTATTTTGAAACTCGTGTAATTTTATTGTAGTATATGACCATGTAAAATACAGGAGACTAAACTTTGAACATAGTATTTCTAATGTGGAGCTTGTGAGTAAGTAGTAATAATTTAGGAGGCCCATAACAGCTGTGAATTAACTGACTCTAATTTATCACACATGATGAAATAAAATGTTCTAGTGTCCACTTATGTTCTCCTACTTTGAATCCTTAGGTATAGCTTTAGTTTGGGTATATATTGTATCTAAAAAGGCATGGATTATGATTTTTATTTTTTAAAACAATTTATATAAGTAACTTGATTACTTAATTTTATTATTTAAATCAATATACACATCTGAAAACCTGTATTTGAAACAGGGTTGACTTTAGAACATTACAAAATACAGTATTTAATATGATGCAATTGATATTGAGAAAAGTTACTCTTTAATAGCTGAAGTTTTTATGCTTTAAAAATAGTTATTTGAAAATATTGTCATTAATCCTTTGGTGTCTCTTCTCCTAAAGATAAGTGAAATGTGTGTTTTGTGACTTCGGATTCCCTGTTTTAATTCTGCTAGTCAGAATCCTATAGTGGAGACCGTTCAATGAATGCTAAAGCTTTTATGTTTAATGCTCTCTCTGAATGTACTTTTGTAGGTAATTAATTCTTTTTTTCCCTTTCTCTACTTGTCCATGAAAAGAAACTATCGAGAACAGAGGTATGTGATGAGAACAATCAACATACAACTGAAAATTTTAAATCCTGTTCGCATCTTTGGAATTCATATATGCAATTATAAGTCAGGTTTACTTTTTTTATGCTAAGTAGTCATACACTAAACTTGATTTTTCATGACCTTAAAATGACAGTTTTAATAATGGTGCTGTGAAATGTATTACTTTTAAAATGTTATTTAATTTTAATGGTTTTTTTCATCCAGCAATATTACAATTATTTGTGTTACTTTTATAGTAATCTGTAGGGAAATTGATTTTTTTCCCCTTCTAAAACAAGTGTCCTCTATGTTAAGGTGTCACCGTTTACATTAATTAGCTTTCCTTCATGTTTATAACACTATTATTGCCTAGTACTTTCGGAGGGGATTTATTGTTTATTTGTTACTGTTGTTATATCAGTAACTTCCACTCACAAGTGATACAATTTCTATGGGCACAGTGTTGTGATCGGGATAATGTCCTGGCATGTGATGAGCCTGTTTAATCGCTGCATAAGAAAATATTTTTGTACTGAACAGATCATTGTTCAGATAGTTAAAGAAATGCTTTGCATAGTTGGAATCTGATTGTCTAGTGTATTTTTAAAAAAAATTTAAAAAAGCCCATAGAGCCAGGCACCCCATTCATCCATAACCTTAAAATCTATGTTTAATCTACAACATAAAAAGGGATACAAAGCATTTCTATAGTTCTGTAAGAATTTATTTTTTAAATAAATCTAAGTTAGCCCATATTGAGTACACCCTTTTCATTTTAAAAAGTACTAATGCTGTTAGCTATTGATACAAAATGAAATATCCTGGAAATTGATAGCCCAGACCAGGTCCTGTACATCATAGAGTTACTAGTTTTATACTCAAGATATCTTTGCAGATTACTACTTCCTTAGCTTTTCCTACTGTTTTATTAAATGCCTGTGGCCAATTAGGAATAAGATGTAATAAACATGGCAAGACTTTTACAATGAAAATTGTAAACTTTACCTTCTGTTTCCTTCCATGTTGTAATTTAAAATTTCCATAAGATTTAGCCATAAGTATCTACAGAGTCTCCATAAATAAATGGTGCCCACAGGGTATCAACTGAGATCCTGGTCAGTTAACATAGGTATTAGAAAAAATTGACCTTGCCCTGGAGTAACTAACTCCTTATTAATGCAAAAAGTAAAACAGGCAAAATGAAATTTTATTAATTTAATAAGTTTAATTAAAATTTAAAAACAGATTTCTCTGTGCCATGTTTTAAGACTCTTGTGTGTTGAAACACTGGAGAAGAGCCGGAGCCATTTAAGCTTTCTGTTGAGTAGAAGTTGATCATCATATCAGAAATCTAAGTTTAGTGGCTTTCTTCCGGGAAAAACAGAAGTAGGCTAACTAGATAAAAAATTGATGATTCAACTTCATTTCCATAGGAGCTAAAGCTATAATGTAATTTAACATTGCTGACTATATAAAAGGGAAAGTAAAGTGCTCCAAGATGTGTCCTACCAGGGACACTATCCAGAATAGAGGAGTTGTCCACAGTACAAAAAAAAAAGATGAATATGTAAAGCTGTGCACCAGTCTTATTCTAACTCAGTATATGCATAGGTATAGTTAAGGAGATGTTTACACGAAGACTCTGTGTACCTGGTATGATTTCATGTCTGTTGGTAGTACTGATCATCATTTTCTCAATCTGACTACTCTTTTGGAATCTAGTTTATGTTTTGAGACTTGTCTCATCTTAAGCAGATATTTATTTTATTTCTTTTGGTTTGTTTTAATGCAACCTTTATTTATTTCTGCCCTTGTCCATAGCTAATGAATCTTGGGTTTGTATAATAATTCTCACAGTGGAGGAGTAGCAGAATGGACTTTAGATCAGGAAGTCATGAATGTATAGATATCTTCTGAATGATTTTTCTTTTTGAGAATATATGTTAAGTGATTATAGAGAAAGTGGTAAGGCCAATGGACAAAAGCATGCATTAAGAAATTTACAATCTTGTAAAAATATCTTCAGATACTCAATTAAAGATGTGCCCAGTTTCAAAGGATGCCAGAAAGTAGGAATAAGAATTTTGAGTTGTCCTTGCCTTTAAATTGAGTTTTTCTTTGAGGTTCCATGGTAAGAGGACCAATTGACAAGAAATCAGACACCTACTTGCTAGTATGTGGTGTTGGGAAATCACTTAAACTTTCCTCAACTCTCAAACCAGATAGAGTTCCTTGTAATCTGTAAAGCATTATGGCAAGGGAAGTTATTGGTATGTGGTCTCTGAAGACATTGTGTTACTCTGATCTTCAAATGAAAGAGATGGATGTGGTTCTCAGAGAGGAAGGTGGCATTCATCGACATAAGCAAGCCCTGCACATACTGGTTAAGCTGGTGAACGAATTGATGAACATAAAAGTTTGCTTTGACACTAAATGCAAGACCATATTAAATAGGTAGCCAGTTATCAGATTTATATTAATTACATAATAGCTCAGAAATACCAAATTGGGCATAACTTTCAAAATATTGGAGAAGTCAGGCAAGTAATTCTGTGAAGATACCTAATAAATGTTTCCTCTGAGAACATGTCCTCATGGTTTTCATTATAGGAAGGAATTTGTGATAGGTTTAATTGCAGGTCTGACAAAAAGATAAGAAGCAAACCCATTTTTTTCCTTTTTGTCTACAAATGCCTTAATGGAATATAGAAGCTCCATTCTGGGACAGAGTGGAGGCAGGAGCCCATACATGAATGACATCACTTTAAACCTGCCAGGGTCATATTGTGAAGGGTAGAACCATGGAGCCTAGGAGCCAGGGAGAGTTCTTATACGTTCTGTAGTTAGAAGGATGGCTATTGGTTGGTCCTTTTCTTTCAAGTCTTCAGTGAAGAAGGCCTCCATGATTTTTTCTGTTCATGCTATTGCTTATACTTTAACATAATTGCTTTAGGACTTAGCAGCTGTACGGCCTCCATGATTTTTTCTGTTCATGCTATTGCTTATATATACTTTAGCATAATTGCTTTAGGACTTAGCAGCTGTATACTTTATAACATGAATTACAAGTTTGAGTTTCAGTTTTCAAGCAGATTTGCAAATAGCAATAGAATAAGAAAACATTAATGGAACTTGGATTTCTAAGGCATCTATATTCAGCTTAAATATTATCTTTCTTTGTCTGAAATGAACACACATCATTATGATTAAGGTGAAATGGAATAAACAATTAGATCATGTGTTACTGATCTATGCCTTCAGCAGAAATGCCCTTCCCCATTTCTTTTCTCTCTCACCTATTTTAGCCATTTTATTTTCTGCTTGTGAACCTCACTCCTTTTTTTTCAAACCTTTCTTAGTTTGTTTTTATATGATTATTTCAATGATAGTCGTGCATCTGTCAGTGTGACTTGGTACACGTTACACAATATTTTTTAAAACAGTAAAGTAATCATTTCAATGACAGACAGCCCAGACACTGACAAAGCACTGGAGAAACGCCTCCTTCAGGATTAAGGTGAAGATTTAATTAAATATTTTTTCATTGTATTCTCATTTTGAAAATGTGCAAGAATTATTAAATTAAATATTATGATTCAATGGACCCTTTTAGGAAAGATCAGACTTTCCTCACAATTCTTTTTTTGAGTAAAAAGAATTTAACTAAATAAGCTTTTATTTTCTTTTGGTCATTATTTATTTTTAAAATTCATGCACATGTCTAAGATATTTACATATGACATGGGGAATGTGATGTACTTTTCCTATTATAAAACTTAGCATTGGCCAGGCCACCTAATGTGATTTTCAAGTCATTGCTAGATTCCAAACTTCTATGAAACCACCAAAATTTAGTAAGAAAGACACAAAGACTAGAAAAATAAATTCAATTAAAAAAATGTAAAGAGATCATTTAGTTGGTCATTTATGATCTTTTATAACAAATGATGAAATGTTATTTTCTTGATCATGGGGACCTCATATTCTCTATCTTCACTAAAGGTTAAACAAGAAGATATAGGTTTGTTATAATATATAATGGATATTTAAAAGGGTCCATTTCTGGACTGTGAAAGGTGTTCAATATGCTTGAGATCTTTAACAAAATTAGTAATCATTAACATTTTTATGTATTTACTATGTGAAGAAAGTTACATGTATTACTAATGGAATTTTTTAAGAATGCAAAGTAGTTCTGTATTTTGAAATAGCTAAGAATATGATCTGCCTGGGGTGAAAAAACAAGCTGTCCCAGAAATTCATTGAACTTAAACTCCCTTCCAGCCCTCTGACTGAAAAGCACAGTTTACGATATTTTTAGCATTTAAGATGTTTGTACCCTGTGCAAAAGAAGAGTATGTACTGCACAGAAATTACTGAAGGAGTAATAAAACATGCTCAGTTAACAAAATAAAAAAAAACTGGGTGCCATCCATTGTTAGAGGTAATTCATTTAATCCTGTGCTATCAGCTAAGGAGGCCTCTGTAAATGCCTAAATGCTAGAGACATGTAAGGAGAAGGTAATTCGGGGGAATTATTTAATGGGAAAGGTCAAGTGTAGTTGGAACTTGTCTTTATTTAATTTGAATTTAGTGAGCCACATCTCATCAGCTTAGACAGATTATCATTAAAGGTAATAATGACAAACATGAGTTGTTAAACATAAAGATTATTATTGGAAATGTGATGTTGATGGGATATTCTCTGCAATTCCTTTATAAATATTAATGATTCAAAAGGCAACAGAAAACTTTGATTTTATTGAGAGCATTTTTCAAGCATTGATAGACAATTTTACTGATGTACGGCAAGAAAGAAAATATAATTGCAGAGATTAAAGATCTCTTGCATAAGAAGATATATTATTTGTCCTATATTATTAACACTATAAATATGGAAGAATTGTATTATATTTTCAATAAAATTAATTTTTCATAATGTCCTGGGAAACAGGAAGATTACAATTATGAGCTGAAGTCGCTTAAAGGGTTAAAACTTAAAGGGTTAAAATATTTTGAAGGATTATGTATCAAAGAATTATAGATAAAATTAGTCTTATAAATTTAATGAGGAATTCTTTCTTTCAAGGGGAGGAGTAGATTTAATTTCACAAATTAATATATGTACTTTATGTCAGAAAATCTTTAGATTTGTAAAGATGTGTGAATACATATATAGGATTGAAATAATATGAGTGAGGATATTTGGTACTTTAAGAGAGTGAATGACCAAGTATTTCAAACATTTGAAACAGTGTTTGCGTAAGGAAGCAAACATCTGAAAGTGGTATATTTTGGATAGAATTTAGCATCAGCAAGTAATCATGACTAGCATGGTAACTAAGGAAAAACCAAATGAGAAAAGGAGTTAGCAAATGTGTACCATTGTTGGAGACCTTTTTCAGAACAGCTCTGTTTGAAATTCTTCACCCAACACTAGTCCGTGCCCTCCAACAATAGTACTGAATGGAACTGAATCAAGTGTTTTATTCAGTTGGCTGCTTGTGGGCCAGGCACTGGCAAATGATGAGATTAACTACTGAGGAAGGGGGCCGACTAGGTAGTCCGATCTAAAGTTTTTTACCCTATCCCTTTAGACAGAGGAAGTAATAGGAATCTGTTCCCATCCTAGTTAATCACCAGAGCGAGTAGAGTCAGTAACAGGGCAGATTTCACTCCTACGGTGGAGATAGAGAACCGAGGTTACCCACAATTGTTCCCATCCTAGTTAATCACCAGAGCGAGTAGAGTCCGTAACAGGGCAGATTTCCCCGTTTCACTCCTATGGTGGAGATAGAGAACCGAGGTTACCCACAACCACCTACAATTATCCTTCCATCATTTCATCAAGATTCAGTTATTTTTCAACCCTTTTCTCCTCTTGCTAAATTATCTTCCTTTACATATTCTACTGTGCAGTTATAGAATTATATGTTTGACTCACCTTTGAATCTTTTTCAATTTCTTCATATTTTGGTGCAATCAACAGTGAAGTTCCAAATTGAACAGAGACCTTGAATAAGAATTTATTTGGATTAAGTTATAGAATATAGCTTAGAAATCCATCCGTTTTTTTAAAGGACCAATCAAGGTTACTTTATATAATGTTTAGAAATCATGAATAGTTTATTCACCACAGTGAAAAAAACGATGTCTTATCCGGGCAAGGACTGTCTGTCCAACTGGGCTCCTTCGGCACCATTTCTTTTTTTTTTTTTTAAGACAAAAGCAGCAGTGAACACCTCTAAGTATAGTGAACTGACAATGAAAAACTTCATCTTTCTATATTTCCCCCTAAAGCAAAGCTTTACTCATTCAGACTGTAAAGGCTTCAGCGACTACATTTCTGATCTCTAGGAGGACTTGAACTTGTCACATGTATGAATAATCTCATGTGTTGTTATGGATTTGACTCATGTAGATCATTATCCCTCCCTCTTTTTTTCCTGAAATAATATTTGTATATGTCTGTATTCATGTGTGTGTGTCTTGTTTTCTGACTCTGAAATGTTTATTATGCCTTAGACAGTTACCCCAGGGAGATTATGTAAAAAAGCCTGGAGATGGCGACTCTTTTTATAGCGACATTCCTCCTGGAGTCAGCACAAACTCAGCATCTAGTTCTAAGAAGAGGTCTGCTTTTCTGTCGCATTTTCAGATTTCTACCTGTTCCATCACACATTATTCCATTAGTCAGAACATTTCATTATTTTGCAGCAGGTTTGATTACTTCTTCCTTCTTTCTTGAATGTTAAAAAAAAATAGTATCCTTTGTTCTTTGATTACTCTGATTCAAAATGCCATATGCTCAGAACCACTTGTTTAACAAATCAGACCAGAAATCCAAACAAAACAAAACAAAACAAATAATGTTAACTCTATATAGAAACCCTACAGGTTTTCAATCTTGCTCTTTATATGGCTTAAGAAACTATACCTAGTATTCTAACATATTTTAAATGGTGAGTTTTATGTCATGTTTGGTAGTCAAAGAAAAAGGTTACTGTCATGCTTCGATAAAAGCAACTGTTAAAATAAATTGGTAATATGAATGCTGCGTTGAATATGTTTTAATTGTAAATATATCAAAGCTAAGCTTGCTGTGAAAAAAAAAGACTGCTTCTCTGTGAATCATATATTTGAATATTATGATTTTGCCTTTTATGCCTGGAATGATTATTTCTAGACTTTATGACTTAGAGCTTGGTTGCCAGTTAAATTTAAGTATATTTAATGCTTTAAGTCCTATAATATTGTGGATGGGGTTAAGATATTATTTATATGTCTCAAACTTTGATGCTATATTTTTGCTGCAGGAACTTAAGGTGTATGACACCATTTAGAATTCTGCATGCTTTATAATTGCTTAATAAAATAAACTGATAGCAGAAATAAATAGGTGGGATGTTTTAGGAAAGAAGACATTCATTGAAAGACACTAAAATTTTCCTGTGGAGAATTTTTTTTTTTAAATTGTTGGTGGGGGTATAATATATAGAAAAAAAGAGATTGATAGCCCTAATTATTACTTTGGTCATAGTAGTTACTTTGTAGATTGCTAGTTTATTGAAAAGAAGCATGATCTCTCCTGGAGTTCTAAAGAGAGTGAATCATCTGTAAAAATTCTACAGTGGATTTCACTCTTTATAAATAACCAGGAAGGACAGTAGAAGACATTGGGGAGATCTGAGAACTCCACCTTGAAACTATCTTAAGAATGAAGGGGTGTTTTTACTAAGATAGCACAGCTTAAAACAAAAGTAAAAATAGTGTTTGGTGTTTTTTTTTTTTTCAAAACAAGTACAATTCTACGGAAGGATGTTAAAAAAATTATTCTTTTAATTTATTGGGGGCTTTTTGAGTAAGAGAATAAGATTTACTTAAATTCTCTTAGCATGGAATTTTTTTTTCTCGGTCAAATATTTAATGTTAAAGTAAATAATATGGTAAATAATTGGAGAAATCAATGGGTTCCAGTAGAATTTCTGTTGTCCTGTACAAAATGGGCATCATTCTTAATCAGCAAATGATGTTGAAAAGTTCCAATCTAGGGAATTCATATATAATAATTGTGTCGATTTATTTTTATTCAATGAAGAAAGTTCCTTATAAAATAGGCATTATTAGCATTAACTGAATACTATGTGGAAAACATTTTAAGTATAATGCTATTTTCTACAGTAGCTCAAGAAGGGTTTGAAGTATTAATTTGAATAATTCCCAGATTTTAGCAAAATCTCAATGGGTTATGACTTTTAAGCCGTTAAAAATAGTATCAGATTATGTGACTTCTCCTGAGTATATGTAGTTTGTTAAAATACTTTTCTTATGTGGTTCAAGGTAGGTGTGGACATTTTGCTTCTTGTAGACGATTCATTTAAAGATGCCAGGACAATTGATTTAAATAGCAGAAGGGCTTCATGGTGCATGGGCTTTGTGAGAGATACTCCCACAACAAACATATGACTCAGTTTACTTATTGGGCAGTTAACACTTATTGGACAGTTAACTACATTTTGGGAGTGCCATATATGTAGAGAAAATGCCAATTCTCAGAAAATAATTTTATTGTTTTTTTAAAAAAACTAAGTATTCCTCTGAAAAAGTTTAGCCAGGATAATTAGAACAAATCTTAATGAAATCTCTTGGAAGTCCATGTTCTCATAATATTTGAATGGAAACCATTGCTTTACAATTAAGAAACATCTATGGTGGGACCCCATTAGAACTCTGCTACTTGGGTTGTATAACCGAAATATGTAGTGAATTTGCTCTATGTAGTGTTTGTACTCTGGGGAATGTAATTGGCTTGCATTGTATCCTGATACTTTGCAGTGATAAACTGTTGTAATGGGGTTCCATTGTATTTGACTTTTCTTAAATTGAATGTTGTGTAATTTTGCCTTTTTCATGAAGATGTTCATGTTCTGTTCATTCTTTCATTTTAGATTTTTTTTCTTTCTTGATTTATTTAACGCACAGCAACACTTACAAGTTTTGCTTAATGATTTCTAAACATTCATTGGATTATATTTTTGCACAATATATACACATTTTCAATTTCAGGTCAAACGGACTCTCTCATTCTTGGAGTGAAAGGATTCCAGACACAAAGCATACAGACATCTGTGAAAATGGGCGACCTCGAAGTAACTCTTGGCAAGGTACAGGGTGGCATTCTGAACCCATCTGTCCACATGACCCAAATTCTATATTCTGTGGCTCCTGATTGTAAAGACTTGTTCTTTTCTGTGAGCTCTTTAGCTCTTCTCCCAGTAGAGAAAGGGCATTTATTATGAGTTCAGTTCTTTTTTTTCTTGGATGGGAAATGAGAGGATTTGATAGCACCAGTGCACTAGACACATTGGGAAGGTTGTACAGAGCTGTAAAGCCCTGTGCTCTGGGTGATGCTAGCTGTAAATGACACCCACTTGAAATACGATGTAATTAAACGTATGGTGGTTTTTTTTAAATTATTTATATTCAAATCTAGCTATAAACTATCTTTTTTCAGGTAATGTGGGAGGCAACAGAAAGAAAATCAGAGGCAAAAGATTTAGACCTCGGTCTAATTCCACTGAGTAAGTCTGCACCTCTCCTGGAAAAAGGCTATCATCCAAGGTCCTGTGCAGTTAGTGTGGAAAGCTAATTAACCAGCTCCTCAGAGAACTGTAAACCATGCCTCTGGCCGTGGTTTTGTCTTTTCAGTTCCTTTTTTGCCATTTTAAAATTAACCATGGCTTTTCTCTTTTACATAGGCATCTCCGCAACTGTGCCCAAAGCAATATTCACTGACAGCGTGGGGTCTGGCCCTCGCTGCAGGCTTTTTGCTCCAGTTCCCTGCCATTGTGGTGTCTTGGTTGCGTTTGAAGGGAATTTTGATAACATTCCTTTCTTCTCATCCCCTGGGGTCCAGCCATTTCAGAGGGGTCACCCTTCCTCTCCCCAATAGTCACACAGCCTAGAAGCATCGGGGGAAATTCCCACCGTCCTAGAGCATGATGCTGCTCACAGGGGGACACCGCCTCTCCCGGGCTTCCTGGCAGCACGCTAAGCATTCTCTCAGACTAATGGAATTCCTTTCCCTTTTAAATTTTTCCTCCCGGGACCTTTATAAGGGCATTTACCTAAACTTGCTCTTTAACGGAATCATTGTCACTAAATGCAACACTATCCATTTTGAAGGATAGCCACATTTTTTTTTTTTAGAGTGGGGATGGGATCTGAAGTTACATTTAAGTCATTTATAATGAGTTAAACACATTTTTGTGTTTGCTTGTTTCTCCACTGAATAAAGTACAAGCAAAACTAAGCTTCCCCAAACCCCATGGAATAAAACACCTGGCCCTGCTTCTGGATTTTGCCACCTGGTTTTAATTAACCATGTTTTTTTGATCCATTTTAAATTTTTTTTTTGTACTAATATCTCAGTTCAGTGCTAGTTCTTCCTCCCAGGATCTCTGTTGCTTCTTTATGACTTCAATATTTTAAAAAATCTGAATAGCAGGTATTGGTTAACTGCTTCTCAGAAACTTATGTTAGCTTTCCCATCGTATACCCTGCCTTTTTCAGTCCAGGACAATAACATTGCCCTGAAATTCGGACCTTCCTGCTGATGGTATTGTCTTGTAAGTGGCTTGTCGAAGTTTACTAGAGGATATTTTACCATAGAAACAATAGATAGGTTCAAGTGATACCATTGCATGGCCCAGAATGGCATCATAGAACTCCATCATAAATAACTAATCTGTTAGAGTTTATCTTATACATCCCCAAAGTGCTTGGATGCTTTAGGACTCATTGTGGATAAACTCTTCTTGGAATGTTGTTTGATTTATTTTGCATGAGGTCACCTGGTGAAGGGCTCCTTAACTTATCCCAGTGGCTCACAGAAGTATAGATGAAATTGCAAAATGTTCTTCAGAACTTCCTACTGTTTAGTTTTCTAACAGTATTTCATATAACAATGCTTTGAAAACTCAAGTGACTAAGAAAAAAAGATCCAACATTATATTAAAACTGTGAGTTTAGGACCCAAAGGATACTTGGTGTTGAGCAAGATTCATAACAGTGTTTTTTAGAGCGATCACTTATTTTTACAATTTTTTCTGTAAAATTCCCACTCGCATCATATGATAAATATTATGCTGCTAGCTTGCCCTTGAGAAATCTTGCCTGTGAGATAATTCAGTTATAACATTTAATAAGAGATCATAATGGAATTATCTTTATGAAGAAGAAATATAAAAGATTCCCTCAGAGTTTTCAGACTTTCCAGATTTGGGTTACATGTCTCATGTTACCTAAATGGAGCCAAGTCTGTGAAGCTGACCACACACCTTATTGTACAGGCACTATACTGTAAATATTTTTTTCTTAGAAGGAATACTAATACATAGCATATCAAGAATGATATTGACAAGTTTTTTTAATATTTTCCATATTTGTTAAATAATCCCATTTGCCTCTGATATAACAACATCATTTGTGTGACCGTATGAGGAGCAGAATGACCATGGAAAAACACATCTTTTTAATTTTTTTAGACTAAGAGGTATTACCAGATCTGTTATTTCAACATTCCTTTTAGTATCTCATCATCCCACAGGATGATGAAACATTGGGACAGGAATTAAAACATGCACCACAAATGCATACTCTGCTAATTAACAACACAAGATATCCTGGTTTAATGTATTGTTTCCCCCCCTGAAAGCTTTTGCATCTTCCTCACTGTTGTACGTGATGTTAAACCAGTTTTTGGCTTAGACTTTGTATTATATATTGTGTTTTTACAGGAGGGAGCCCCAAGCACCTGAGCCTGGGCACTCCCTCGCCCAGACAGTCCCATCCCAAGGCATAAGCCCAGGGGGCTCTGACAGCCCCCAGACAGGGAGTCTGGATCACAGGTCAGTCTCCACCTGCCCCTCCATTCTGGGCTGCCACGTAATCTCCCTCCAAGTCCCTTCCTTGGCTGAGAACAGGGTCATTTAATCTCTGACGGACCCCTGACGTCTGCTCAGAAGTGGTCCTGGTCCAGCCAGCACCAGCTAGTTTTCCTCTGCCTTTCTCTCCTGGAGAGCACACAGAGCTCTCCTCTCCTGTCTAATGCATTTTATTTTATTTTTTGCATGTTGCGCTACAAGCCAAGTCAAGCCACATAGGCAGGTTTATAGCAGTTTGATAAAACCCCATCACTCCAGCCACCACGACCTAGAGTATTAGGAAGCCCGCTGTGATGACACTTTCACAGCAGATCCCTGGGAAGAGCAACAATTGAGAGCTCTCTTCAGTGACCTCTAGTGAAGTGATCACACCCGTCTGAGATGCTCCCTGAGAAGAAAGAAAAGGTCCGTCAGGGGCAAGTCAAGCCATGTGGCTGCAGGTTTCATGGAATGGCCATGGCACCAGTCCTCTGAGCTTCTAAGATTGTCAGTGAGAGGGACACATGTCTCTTGGATGTGGCCACCTGCCTGTGGGTGACCCGGTTTGCTGTGTGGCTATGTGTCACCTAACAACTGCTGCATGGGCTTTCCCCACAGTTTTCCCCAGGCCCGAGCGTTCACGAGTCTTCATCTGTGGCTGCACTTGCTTTTTGATTATTTTCTTTTTGTTCGGAGTCTCAGTGGAAATCTTTATGCAAGTTTTAATGGCTATCTCTGTGAAAAGCACAAGTTGGCAATGATTGTGGCTAAAGGCAAAACTAGTGTGAGTTGTTCCAGAATCAAGGGACACTGTCTTAGCAAAAATGGTCTTAAAAGCATATAAAGTACCTGACCCTTCTCTAAGGAGGGAACTTCATGAACTATTTTATAGCATATATTGGGTATAGCTAAAAACAAAGGAAATGACTGTGGGGAAAAATAATCTGATTTGTTTATGTAACTATGACAATATAGTCTTGACTTAAATGTATTTGCATTTAAATACTTAAATGTATTTACAAACTAAAACTAAATATGGAGGAAAGAAGCAAACTGGACCCACAAATAGTATATTATATCATTTCCCCTGGTTTGTTTCCAAATAATCTTAAAAGTTTACAGAGCTTGATCTTCATTGCCTATAGTGTTTCTAGAAGTTACTTTTTAAAATGAGAAAACTCAGTAAAATCTCCAAATTCATCCAAGGCTGAATTTGTTGAATCTAGATTTATTTTAAGAGGGCAAATACTAAGGGAACATGCTTTTGCTTGCCCCCCCTCCTCCCCCCGCAAGTCCGCACCCCTCCCCCAGGGTAAAAATAAAAGGAAACTCTGAAAAGAAAACAAAACTTGCACTCCCAATTTTACTACCTTTAAGATTTTCCTTTGTGATTAATTCTGATGGAGACTTTGCCAGATCCGCCTGGGAAATGCTAACTTCGGCCATTATTATCTGCTGTCCATCACTCACACGGTGCTCACACACTCAGAAGGTAACCTATGAGGGCCGTTTTACAACGGAAAATGAACACTTTAGTCTGGAGTGCAAGCGGACGAGGAAGGACCGTGCCAGCTGCACCTCAATTACTAAACCCAGCCTCAAGGTCACGGAGGCCTGTTGGGACCACGATGAATGTGCGTTGGGGCTCCAGAATCCGAAGAGTGAGACCTTTCCCGCTCCTTCTAGAGCTGACTGGAGCACCTTTCTTGTTAAATTCCAGCTTGGGATCTGCTATCAGGAGAAAGAGGCCATTTAAAGTCTTCCCTTTCATATTGGCAAGAGAACGTGGCTCCTTTTCATTGTTTTTGGGTTGATGTGCCCAAACACCAGGTTGGAATGGCAGCCCTCAGGGTTCTCAGAAAGTGCCATTACCATTTGAAAACCAAGGAGCCCAATGAGAGGTGGCCTGGAAAATGCCCCTTTGGAGGTGGGTGAATGGGATTGCTCACAGCACTATAATTGAAAGAGCTTCTGAGTCACTTTGGGAAACCACTGGAGAGGCTCCCCTGAAATGTGAATCCGTTCTAGAATGCCGTGAGCCTCGTGGTAGCCGAGTTTCTGGTCATGTGATTGTACAGACTGCCTCATAACCACCCAACATCCATCCTGGTTTATTTGCCATAGTCACTTGCATTTGGAGGGTGAAGAACATCCTTGCTAAGCTTGTGCTGTGTGTTTTCAGATTTTTCTATCTTGTTCTGCTTTCTTTGTTCCTTCCATTGCTTTCTGCAGGTATTTAAGCCCATGGTTCAAAAGAGACTATAATGTAGCTAAGTGGGTAGAAGATGTGAATAAAAACACTGAAGGACCATACTTTAGGTATTTTATAAATTAATTTTATATCCTTTTCAAACTCTCCCAGCACATACAAATACTGTAGTGTGACTGGCTCTCCATCTTGTATCTCCCAATACAAGTTCCCAGAGGTGGAGAGGGTCCTTGTTTCTTTGCTGCCTTTTGATTGATCTCTGTTTTGGGCTTCATGAGCAAGTCTAGCTCTTTTCTGAATGTTTTGAATGAAGCCACTTGAAAGGGTTGCCACTTAGTGCATGTCCTTGTTACCATCTTGAGCTTTTTAGTAGCTTTCTGTTCCTTTTATGCTATGTAGTGTTCTATGGGCATGAAACATCCTTTCCACTAATAAAGAAGCACTATTAACCCGAGCAATTTAATTTCTAGAATCTACTTATTCCATAGTGCATTTTTCCTACTTACCACCTTAAGAGTGCATAGTGCATATGAAAACTCAAGGAAAAATACGAAAAGGAACTAAATGCAATTGGTGAAATTTTACTTTGAGTAAAAGCAATGATTAGCTGTAACTTGAAAATTATTGAGAGAATATTGGCCACATGAGAGTGTATGGAATGAGTTTAGGTTGTATTTGTTCAGTACAACCATTTGCTACCAGAGAAGGGCTGTGCTGACAAGTGCTTTACAGATTCTCAGCAAAGCTAAGGAATTTTTTTATTCCAATAAAAATGCCGTGTCTAACACTTCAGATAGAACAGGAAGCAGATCTGCAACATGCCCGTGATTCACAAACAAGCAGGTAGAGCATCTGTACATTTTAGAAACTAGCATATTTACTCAATTCACTGCAACTCAAAGAGAATTTCCAAGAGCTCTCAATGGCATTTTTTTACTCTTTATAATATCAGAGTGATTTCCTAAAGACAAATGTCCACTTTTACTTTGTGACAATTATATAAAGAAGAAAATATAAGCTGAACTGCTACCTCTGCTGAACACAACTTAACTATAAGCTTTTGATTATTTATTGCCATGACTTGGGTCAGCATTTAACAGATATCAAAATATATATGTGTATCTAACTCTCAGCACCCATGTAAGGTGGACTTTCTCTTCCTGTGTACCATTTAGTTTAGACATGTATAGTTTGAGAAAATGATTAGACCTGCCTGCATTTGAATTTGATCCATACATTCACATATGCCCCAAGGAAAGCATAATCCCTGCCTGCTCACAGAAATATATCCTGCTTTTATACCCCACCTTTCCCTCTTGCCCTGTCCCTCTGCTTATACCACTTTCCCACTGAACCTCATACACATACACTCACATTCAAACATCCCACCCTCACCTGTAGCTCCCAAGATGGCCAGCGTCAGGAAGACAGGTAAGATGGTTTGGAATGTTATTTGGAATCTTGGCTCACCTGCAGTCCCGTTTCTCCTCTCTGTCTTCCTCAGGCTTGTGGGCAGATTATAATTTGTATTAGTCATGGAACCAAAAGAGAACATCTTTGGTCCTATGTGGGCTAGGGCTGTTATGCCTAAGTGGACTTAGCATTTTGCAGCAACAATTTATGAAATGGTACCCCGGAAGAGTTGATTCACCTCCCCTGGGTGAGCTGAGTAGTGTATGTGGCTCCCAGAGAAGAGTTCACATTTCTTCCAATTGGCACCCAGGTCTGCCCAGAAGCTGCATGACTAAACTCAAGTTGGATGGGGAGTGGCTTTAGCACCCCCCCGGTTGCACGTGCAAAGCTGCAAGGGCAATTTTAGAGGATTCCTTTATCGCCTCTGGTAATAATGAGATGTGGGTTTCCACAGCGGATAGTCATATTAAGAAGTAATGTTTTTTGGTTTGTTAAGGGTAATCAATACAGAATTTCTGTGGAAGTGGTGAATTATTGAGATACCCCAGGGCTTTTCACACAAGGATTTTAACGCAACAGAAAGAATTTTATCCACTCTCCATCCAAGCCATGCCTCACATCGCAGGCCCCGAGTGCATCCGTGCCTTGGCTGACGCTCTTTGCCAACCCTATGCTTAAGCTCAGGTCTGCTTCATTGGCTGCCAGGTTATTCAGGATCACTTTTCCTGTCAAAACCATCAATGAGGGCAAAGGTCACTTTATTAATGACCCCTGTGTGGTGCGAGGTTTCTGGCATCGTTACCAAAATGCAATGGGGACTTAATGAATGCAGGAAACAGGTCCAAAATACATCCAGCTCTTTAACATAGTAATCACATCACCACAAAGAGCAAAGCAAATGCCGAAAGACGCTGAGTGATCAGAGTGCCTCAGCTGTGCTCCCTTCCCCAGTGCTCATGTGACTGGTTGCTCAGGTTGTCGTGGGCATACATTCCAGACTTTAGGAAGGAGTGGGTGGGTCAGGGCAAGAGAATGATCTCCGCACACCTAGACCCTGGAGGTAGTTCCGTGGGTGACAGGGCTTTACCAGCCCCTAGGAGGCATCCTTACTCTTGGGTATTAGCGGATGGATTACTCACTTCATCACCAGATTTTGAGTCCATTCCCATGACCTCATGGAAAATGCTGTAACTCTGAAAATGAACTTAATAACGGTCATGTATTGTGTGCCTTTATTTCTCGCAA